GCGTGTCTTGCCGTCGCTGCCGCCGTCCCTTGCACCACCGTGCGGTCCTTGCGTCGAGGGTAGGCTGCGTGTCTTGCCGTCGCTGCCGCCGTCCCTTGCACCACCGTGCGGTCCTTGCGTCGAGGGTAGGCTGCGTGCCACCCCTCACTCCTCCTCCCTTCGTCCGGCCACCGAGCCTTTTGAGACGCTGCACTTGGACGTCTGGGGCCCCTCTCCTCGCCCTGGCCCTGAGCGTGAGCGTTTCTTTTTGGTGGTCGTTGACGACTACTCCCGCTACACCACAGTGTTCCCCCTGGCGAGGAAGTCTGAGGTGACTTCTACGCTGATCAGGTGGTTGCTTACCACCCAGGACACTCGTGGTCGTCGTGTCAGCTGTCTCCACTCCGACCGCGGGGGCGAGTTTCGCTCCGGCATTCTCGCTGGATTCTGTCGCGAACAGGGCATTCGTCAGTCCTGGACGCTTCCGGAGTCCCCACAGCAGAATGGGGTTGCTGAGCGTCGCATAGGCCTGGTCATGGAGATTGCCCGCACCTCCTTGACTCACGCCCGTGCCCCCCATTTCCTGTGGCCATACGCAGTCAGGTACGCCGCGCACCAGCTGAACCTCTGGCCACGCGTCTCTCGGCCGGAGGCTTCACCGACCAGTCTTTGGACAGGGTCCCCTGGTGTCGCGTCGAGGTTTCGTGTCTGGGGGTGCTTGGCTCTTGTCCGCGACACCTCCGCGGACAAGCTCTCGCCTCGCGCCGTTCCTTGTGTCTTCCTTGGTTTCCCTGAGGACTCCTCTGACTTCACCTTTTACCACCCTCCCTCTCACCGGTTCTTTGACTCCCGTGACGTCCGTTTCGAGGAGTCCACCCCGTACTACGTCAGGTACCCCAGTCGAGGTCTCCCGGTTCCTCCTCCCCCCCTCTTCCTGACAGCCGCTCCCCCGCCTGCTCCCCCGGTACAGCCTCCCCCCCCTGGTCCAGCCCCGTCTGGTGTGTCTCAGGCTAGCCCTCCCCCTTCGGTAGCCCCCCCTGTACAGCCTCCCTCCCCACAGTCTTCCTCGCCGCCTCCTGCAGGTGCTCCCTCTCGGGAGGTTGGTCCTGCGACTGTCCCTGTACAGGTCTCTGGTTCTGGGGGTGCTGGAGTTGGAGCTGAGCCGCGGGTTGCAGAGGACTCTTGTCTTCCGGGGGCTGGTACTGGTCGTGCGGAGTCTGGGGGTGCTGGTGCGGAGTCTGGGGGTGCTGCGTCTGGGGGTGAGGGTGTTCCTTCGGTTTCTGGAGAGCCTGGGTCTGGAGCTGGTGTTGGTGCTGCCTCTGGGGGTGGTGTGCTTGGTGCTTCGGAGGTCGACTCTGGGGCTGCCGCTGCCCCGGACACTACTCCTTCCCCCCACCCCTACCCGACCAGGTTCCAGGCTCGTGTTCGCCGTGCTCGTGAGGAGCAGCTGGAGTTGGAGAGAGAGGAGAGAGAGTTGCAGCGGCTCGAGGAGCAGGAGCGACAGCAGCAGGGGCAGCAGCCGCTGGAGCAGCAGCAGCCGCAGCAGCAGCAGCTGCCGTCTCCTCCTCCTGTCTCGGGTCTTCGGACCCTTGGTCTCCCCTCTCCCTCTCCTTCCTCCTCCCCCTCTCCTCCCGTCTCTGGTCCTCCGCTTCCTCCTCCTGACCCCTCTCCCGCTGTTTTCCCTCGTTCTCAGTCTTCGTTGTCCCCTCCTCCTTCTCAGACTTGGGCCTCTCGTCGCTCCCCTCGTGCTCGTCCCTCGTCTCCTGTTCCCTTCACTGACCTTCGTACTGCCTTACTTCGTTCTAGTCCACCTCGTCCGTCTCCGTCTGTGCTTCCGTCTCCTCCTGAGTCGGCTCTCACTGCGTCGCTCCCTACTCCTGTCACTGACTACTACCGCACGTACCGTCCTCTTCTCTCTCGTGTTCTCGCCTCGCTTGTTACTCACCCTCGTGCCTCTGTGTCCTCTGTGTCCGCTCTTACTGCCGCAGTCACTGAGTTTGCCTCTACCCGCCGCCTTGACTTCGCCACCGCTCTTGTGGCTGCTCCTCCTTCCAGTCCTCTGGCCGTCGGGGGTGTGTCTGCCCTTGGCTGTGACGCCCTAGAGGACAGGCAGTTTGAGCTAGAGTTCCTGGCGGCCGCTTCCCCTCATCTCTGTGCCATGCTCCTCGCCCCTGAGGGTGACCCCGACGCCCTTGACATTCCGACTCCTCGCACTTACGCTGAGGCAGTGTCAGGGCCTTGGGCCTCTCAGTGGAGAGCTGCCATGGACGCAGAGATGGCCTCCTACAGATCCACAGGCACCTACGTCGATGAGGTTCCCCCTCCGGGGGCGAACGTAGTCGACGGCATGTGGATCTACAGGGTGAAGCGGCCACCGGGATCTCCTCCGGTCTTCAAGGCGCGCTACGTGGCTAGAGGCTTCAGTCAGCGCGAGGGAGTTGACTTCTTTCAGACCTTCTCCCCCACTCCGAAGATGACCACTCTTCGGGTGTTACTACACGTAGCAGCACAGAGAGACTACGAGTTACACTCTCTCGACTTCTCTACTGCTTTCCTTCAGGGCAGTCTTCACGAGGAGGTCTGGTTGCGTCGTCCCTCTGCCTTCACTGGCTCTTTCCCTCCTGGGACCCAGTGGAGGCTGAGGCGACCGGTTTACGGTCTTCGTCAGGCTCCTCGTGAGTGGCACGACACCCTGCGTTCTACCCTGTCTGACCTTGGGTTCCAGCCGTCTTCTGCTGACCCGTCGCTGTTCGTTCGTCGTGGCCCCACACCTTTCTTTGTTCTGGTCTACGTTGACGACCTTGTTTTCGCCACCCCTGACAGGGTTGCTTTGGCACACGTGAAGTCCGAACTGCAGAAGAGACACACCTGCACTGATCTTGGTGAGCTGCGCCACTACCTTGGCCTGCAGATCACCAGGGACAGAGCTGCTTGCACCATTACACTTTCACAGTCGCACATGGTGCAGCAGGTCCTTCAGCGGTTCGGGCTTCAGCACTCCACAGTACAGCGCACACCTCTTGCTGTTGACCACAGACTCACTGGACCCTTTCCTGACGAGCCGTTCGAGCCTAGTGGTCCCTACGCAGAGCTTGTGGGTTGCCTCATATACCTGATGACTTGTACTCGCCCGGACCTCGCCTTCCCTCTCAGCGTTCTTGCGCGCTTTGTTGCGCCAGGGAGACACCGTCCTGTTCACTGGACAGCAGCTGTGAGGGTGGCGAAGTACCTAGCGACGACGTCAGGCGTGGGGCTAGTTCTTGGAGGGCAGCAGTCTGTCGTACTTACTGGTCACTGTGACTCCTCTTACGCTGACGACGCTGAGACTCACAGGTCTACTCAGGGGTACTGTTTCAGCCTGGGTTCTGGAGCTGTTTCCTGGCGGTCCACGCGCTCCTCTTCGGTCTCGACCTCTACAGCTGAGGCTGAGATCTACGCTGGTGCCATGGCGGCACAGGAGCTGCGTTGGTTGACCTTCTTGCTCACCGACCTTGGTGAGCGGCCGAGCTCTGCACCGACCTTGTTCACTGACAACAAGGCGTCTATTCTCCTTTGTCGAGAGCCACGACTGGAGAGCAGAGTGAAGCACATTCACGTCAGGTACTTTCTTCTGCGAGAGTTGCAGAGGCGTGGACAGGCTCGCTTTGAGTTTGTGGAGTCCGAGGCCAACACTGCAGACATCTTCACCAAGGCGCTTCCGCCTTGTGACCACCAGAGGTGCTGTGTGCAGTTAGGCCTTGTTGACACTGGTTCTCGTGTTGCTTAGGCTTGAGTGTACTGTTTACTTTGCTTTCTATATACCTCTGTTACTTCTTGGACTGGCCTTGTGGCCACTGTTGTTTGTGCTCAGACTGTGTGGTGACGTTGTGATCCACCCTGAGCTTTGTTTCTTGGACTGGTCTTGTGACCGTACTCGTTTGGTTCTGCTAGACACCCCTCACTTAGGCTATGGGGGTGTGTCAAATGTTGTAGCCTATAGTGAGGTTTGTCTTAGGGGGTACAAAACTTAGGGTTAGCTATATGTACCCCAACCAACATCAATGCATCATCCATTCCTCATTCTGTCACGCAGGTGCCGACTGCTGGTGTTGCTCGTAAAACGACATGAAGGAGAAGAACTTCTCCATCATACTCTGGTCGAAGTTGGCAGGCTGGCTGGCCGAAGGCGCTGCTGGTCCCGTTGCGGTTCCTTCCTCTGTCTGCAGGCCAGAGGCAGGAGGTGGGGTAGGAGTAGTCCCGGGAGAACCATTAGAGGAACTCCTCTCCTTGTATGTTGCCATGTCGTCTGTTGGTGTCTTGGTAATAGTTGAATTTTCCCTGATAGCTCTCATACCATGTTGGGCTGAGAAAAGCCCTTAGGATCTTTGCAGGGGTAAATTCGGGGTAGGACTATTGTAATAGCGGAAGCGTTTAATGAAGACTTGTGAACCACCTTGCACTAGTGTCTGAGAGCAAAGTAAGTTATTTAAAGCAAGCAAGTACAAAGATTTATATAAGAGTACAAGGAATACGAAAGGATACGATTGTAACTGTTTTACTGTTTTACTGTTGCTGTTGCGGTTCGATACAGTGACGACTCGGGCAACCGCTCTGTAACGAGTCGGTTGTGTGTCCTTGCTGTCGTATTGTATTTGTCAGGTCAAAGGTCGCTGACCTTTGACTTTCGCGTAACCTCCGGCAACCTCTTTCAACCTCCGAGGGTTGACTCGCTCGTGCCTCGATATGACTCGCTTCGCTTCTGGTGTGATGTTTCGACACGACATGGGCGCTTTAGGAATTACTTGTTTCCAACAGAAGTATTCACCATTATTGGGGCTGGAACTACACTACCACCCCCCTGCTCCCATCCCAAGTTGGCATTCTCCAAGCCACCCTTGGCACCAAACCAGGACAAATCAAGTTGAAATCGTACCGTTTCTGTGTCAGCACAGCGCAATTTTACTGTTCAAAGCCCCCCGCTGAGGGACATCACAGCATGCACCAATCCCGTAAAATTGTGTCATTTATTGTGGTATTAATGATCAAACTGCACAAATGCAACCCGGAGTTCTCAGCATCAACTTAAATAAAACCGGGTTGCGCGCTCAGGCTGACAATTTCCCTTCTCATTCTTACAAGCAGGCATACCAGGTTCGTAGATCAAGCCTCTGACGTCTCATTTGGACCACATCCTTACAGCTCATGGCTCTTCTGGTAGAAGACGATATCTCCTTCAGATGCCACAAAGTGGTCCTCACCAAATGACTTTACCAAAGGCTCCAGAAGATGGAAGGGGAAGGGGCCCTTGCATGGCTCTGGTTCACGATAGTAGTTCCCAAGAATGGGTTTGATAGCCGCCGTCTGGATGAGAACACAGGTTAAGAAAAGGTTACACAAACAGCTCCGCAAAATGAAACGCATGGGAAAAATGAATCTAGTGCAAGAGGCTGCACTTACCGCTTCTGTCAGGTTGTAATGGGGGATTTGGGGGAACAGATGATGCACCACGTGAGTTCCAATGTCATGATGAATCTTGTTGAAGATTCCATAGTCTCTGTCAATAGTTGACAGGCCTCCCCTCAGGTATGACCATTCCTGTAAAGCAGAAATTCCACTTTCAGCACTCCACGAGGATTGTGCGAGAGCTGATGGTTCAATCAGAAGAAGTCACATACCTTGCCCCTGTACCAGGGGACCTTCTTATCGTAGCCATGGTGATGAAGATAGGTAACCAAGTCGAGCCACATCACGTTAATCTACGCACAAGAGAAGCAGGTTCGGTTAATGTTCACTTCTTTGACTTCCTCTTTGAAGGGTTCATTTATTACGTTGGTGGTTCACTCACCCAGTACGGCATGAAGTAGAGCTTGAACATGACGAGGGGGCCGAACGCGACAGAAAGAGCGGCCAGGAGAGCGACCATGCCCCACCACCACGTTGCCGAGGTGACAACGTCGTTGTATTCGGCCTCCGTGAACAGGTCGCACTTGGGGTCGAAGTGAGATCCCTTCTTTCCTGGAGTGCGCAACCACTGAAAAGTGAACACATGTCAGCGTGTCAGTGTCAGATTAAAATTTCAATAAAAGAAAACAGGTTCAGAGCGGAAATCGAGAGCGACTGATCTGACAATGGAACGTACCAGGTAAAACGGAAAGGCGACGAGGGGAAACGGGAATTTGAACCTCGCGAGTTTGGACCCAAGGTCCATTTGCTCGTAAACCTCCTTCGTAATCTGGAAAGGAGGCCACGACGGGAATGGGTGAGTGACGTCAATGAGAACACGCTCGACATTCGATGAGGATCTAGGGCTGCGAAATGGTGCAATCCTTACCGGATACCAGGACTCGTCGTTCTCGACGTGGCCATGGTTAGCGTGGTGTGTGCGATGGCTTATCCTCCTGCAAAATTATAGAGCAAGCAAGTTAAGCTTCAAAACATTCAGCACGGTATTCCTTGTAGCCTGAATGACGCACTCACCACCCGTGGTAAGGCACGAGGATGAACGCGTGGCTGAGATGGCCAACGATGTCGTTGAGACTGCGGCTGTCCGAGAAGCTTCCATGACCACTGCATTAAGGATAAAGCATTACAAACGAGTATACCGTGAGACACCCAGATCTCGAGATCAGCGCAACTAATCGATGATTAAGCAACATACCAGTCGTGGCCGACGACGAAGAGAGCCCAGAACATGGTTCCCTGAGCGAACCAATACAGCGGCCACAGGGTCCATGAATCGAAGTACATCGCCACGGCACCGAGTGTGAAAACGATCACGAAATCGCGAACGAAGTACGACAGCGATCGCCAGGGGTTTTTCACCCAGCAATGCTTCGGAATGGCGTTGCGTAGATCCGATAGGCTGAAGGGGGGAGGAGCAGAGTAATCGAAGTCCTTGGATTTGAGAGGAGCGTCGGCTTGCCCATTGGCAGCCATGGTGGGGGAATCTGCCGTCATTCTGCAGAGTCCCGGCGCACGGGCTCAGCAACTGAGCAAGAACTGATGTTAGGAGGAACGAAACCTAACAGCTACCTGCAGTTGTACCCCCCTCTGGAGGAACCAGGGAACCCGCAACAAACAAGTAGTACTTTCCCGTCGAACTTCGAAAATAGTTCCACACGGGATGGGCAAAACAGGGACCACTCTGGGCTGATCACAAGGCCAACTCAGCGGAGGTATGGACCTCGGGGATTCGTTTCGAGTGGCCCTGGACAGCTACGGGATGGGACACACACAGGCCGCCAAAGCGGGGAAACTGGTGGACCAGAAAGGGAAGTGAAGCGGAATTTGTGGGCGAGGCCTCGACTGCTAGTTTGGCGGCCATTTCTGGCCAATTGGGTCAAGCGCCGAGCCAGGTGATCACGGACGATGATTCGTCGGACGTAACATACTAGGTGTTTCACTGTTTATGTTCTCCGATGAATCATAAACATTGGGAGACCTGACCGCGAAGGTATATTTCTGGCAGAACAACATTGATCCACAACGGAACTGGGAACTGTGTGTCCACAACCAACGAGAAACGCTGCGAAATAAGATATCTATTTCCCTAAAATTGTTCAAGGGCTAGCTTACGTAGTACATACCCAGGGTGCCCAGGGTGAACACCATGCTGTATACAACCATGCTTCCCACGGTCCAGATGTGTCGGTCGAACCGTGAGGGTGAAAAAGTATCTACGCTATTGGAGATTCGTTTACGACTACATTGCATTTTCTACTCACATACACATCAACCAGACAACTCACAAGGAATTCCCCTTTCACGAGACATCGCTGGTTACCCGAAACGCAATAAGTTAAAAATATCTCGCATCTGCGACGCGCCTCAGTGAATCTTTCTCTCACCGACAAATCTGCAACTCACACGTGCTCAGCTCACCCATCGACGGCCCTGTGAGAAGCCGGCCCTATTCGACCTGATCGTACCATCGACAGTTGCTTCATGATGGTCCCTTCCCTTCCACGCCCGCACCTACCCTTGCCCAGTCATCCGCGGCCCTTGATTAGTCTGAAGGGTCGGCTCCTCCATCCCCGTTTTCCTTCTGCTCAACCGTTCCTTGCTTGCTGTAGCTTTTCAGAAACAGCTTTCAGAATCGACCATTCTCACCAGAGCTTCACATTCAAGCAAGAATCCACATACACCTGGCGTAAAATATTGAAGCTTTGGTCTCTTGAGGACTTCACATGGCAATGCCACTGCGCATACACACTACATACGGTTCCTAAGAACTTGTCTTTCGCAGAACCACGCGCAATAGCTATCAACCATGTTAGTGTCACATATGGCACGCGACCTAGTTTCGCTCACGCACTCAGCGCGTGGTACCGCCGACGTAAGGTTCGACCCGACATTTCAAATCTCATGCGTTTTATCGTCTTCAGAGTGCTGACTTTTCCCGTTAAAATCTAGTAACCGTCGCAGGCGTGAGCAATAGTAACCTTACTTGACTTAGAGGCTCGGAGCCTTGATAATAATCGAACAGGGTAATAGTGCGCAGAGGATTGAAACACCGCATCTGAACCTGAAAACGCAACGGCCCGAGGAAGTTCTGCTCGTGTGGCATCATGAGCGGCAGCAGCAATGGGCTTCCGCCCAACTGCCCGCCTGACGGTTTCGGCCTTCCACGTAAGAAGCTAACAGCAGCACTGCAACGTACGCAGCGGTCTTGTTCTTCCCGATTCCAATCCAAGAACCGCCAATCCATTTTTTCCGCTCCCCCACCTCAGCGGCTCCCCCCACATTGGCCCCCCTTCCTCTCCCTTTATCCCAAACCCCTCCCTACCCCAGCGGCTCTTCCCACATTGTCCCCCACCTTCGCTCCCTCAACCTCCGCTCCCCCACCCTCCGCTCCCCCCTCGGCTCCCCTCACGCCGCTCAGCGTCCCCCCTGCCCTCTCCCTCCCTGCTGAGCAGAGTATTTTTACAACAACTCGGGCAGCTGCGCGCAGCAGACGTCGTTTTTTGCCGGGCAGCCCGTGTTGTCGGTGGGGGTGGGGTACGCCGTGGTGCTGGGCTTTGGCGCTTTCTTTGCCGTCTTCACCTCCTGGCTCGTAAGGCACACCTCCCTCGCTCATTTTCTCACTCGCTCGCTCACTTGCTCACTCGCTCGCGCGCTTGCCCACTCCCTCGCTTGCTTGCTCACTCACACTCACTCACTCGGAGAGTGATGCAAATCCACCCCCCCACAATGCTCGTTCTGTTCGCAGGTGTGGCTGGATAAACGATACGTGGGCACAAGGCAGAGCAGCGAGTGGTTCAATACAGCGGGCAGGAACGTGAAGACGGGGCTTATAGCGAGTGTGATTGTATCGCAGTGGACATGGGCCGCCACCATTCTGCAATCCTCCAATGTCGCCTTCCAAGTACCGTGCTGTACCGCTCTCTACCGTTCTTTCCAGTTCTGTACCGCTCTGTATCCTGCTGTGCTACGCTGTGCTGAGCTGTATCATCAGCTCTATCATGTGACACGATGCTTGCTCTGTATGGACCATGCACTGACTCACCCCTTGCTATATCCCTATCCGTGCTCGCTCTCCCACCACCCCACTAGAACGGAGTGAGCGGGCCGTTCTGGTATGCCAGCGGGGCAACGGTGCAGGTGCTGCTGTTCGGCATCATCGCAGTGGAAATCAAACGCAAGGCCCCCAACGCCCACACTGTCTGCGAAATTGTCCGCGCCAGGTGAGGCCAGGTACTTCGTCAGGCGAGTCTTCAGGTGATTATTCAGGTGGCTGTTCAGAGTACGAGTCACGGTGATTGTTCAGATTATGGGTCTGGTTGAAGTGATTTTTCAGGTGTTGTTTGTAGTTGAAGGTTCGACTTATGGTTTAGGTTGCATCAGATACTTGTGCATGTTGTTCCACCCACCTCCCCCCCCTATCAAGTGGGGTACAGCAGTGCGCATCTGATTCCTCTTCTTCTGCTTCCTCACCACAACGCAACACCGACCCTCTCGCCCATGCTCTTGCTCCTCTTCTACTTCTCATGCTTCCCATCCGCCCACGCATCCCCCTTCCCCCCACCAGATGGGGTACAGCGGCGCACGTCTGTTTCCTCTTCTTCTGCTTTCTCACCAACACCATCGTCACAGCCATGCTCGTGTTGGGGGGAGCAGCAGTGGTCACTGCTCTCACGGGTCTCAATGTGTACCTTGCCTCGTTTCTGGCGCCCATTGGAGTCATCTTCTACACGCTCGCAGGAGGCCTCAAGGTGAGTGAGTGAGACTGATACACAGAGGCGCCTCTTGAGTGGAGTGAAATGGAGGGAGGCGGCACCACCATGCCTTTGTCACCCTCACCTCACGGGTCTCAATGTGTACCTCGCATCTTCTTGGAGGGTTTCTCGCGCCCATTCGAGTCATCTTCTACACCCTTGCAGGAGGCCTCAAGGTGAGTGATGCACATGTTATCCTTGTCCTCACTCCCCTTGAGTTGACTGAACTGCAACTTTATCACCAAACTATTCAGAATCTGCTCGCACTTTTGTCTCACTCTCTCTCTTCCCCATGCCCCTGTGCCTTCCCATCTTTCCCCCAGGCCACCTTCCTGGCGTCATACATCCACAGCGCCATCGTGCATGGCATCCTTGTAACCTTCGTTCTGCTTGTCTACTGGTTCAGTGGCCACCTCGGCTCCCCTGCTGCTGTGTTTAACGGCCTCGAATTCGCTGCCAGCCCAACAAGGGATTGCCGGCTCACCAACCCCGGGCAGGTGAGGCCTTAAAGCCGTACCGTCCGCATCTGAGGGGCTTAAAGCCCCTCCCTCGGCTCGCTTGCTGCTGCCTGTAACATTCGCGATTTTGCTGCCAGCCCAACACGTGTACGTGCGGCGCCTCATTCCCTTCCCCAGCCCGCCCATCACCACGTGTGCGGGCCAGTGGAGGGATATCGCGAAGTGTAGTGGTAACTGACAATGCTGTCTCCATCGGGCAGCTTATGAGTATCAGAGGACAGCTTATGAGTATCAGAGGACAGCTTATGAGTATCAGAGGACAGCTTATGAGTATCAGAGGACAGCTTATGAGTATCAGAGGACAGCTTATGAGTATCAGAGGACAGCTTATGAGTATCAGAGGACAGCTTATGAGTATCAGAGGACAGCTTATGAGTATCAGAGGACAGCTTATGAGTATCAGAGGACAGCTTATGAGTATCAGAGGACAGCTTATGAGTATCAGAGGACAGCTTATGAGTATCAGAGGACAGCTTATGAGTATCAGAGGACAGCTTATGAGTATCAGAGGACAGCTTATGAGTATCAGAGGACAGCTTATGAGTATCAGAGGACAGCTTATGAGTATCAGAGGACAGCTTATGAGTATCAGAGGACAGCTTATGAGTATCAGAGGACAGCTTATGAGTATCAGAGGACAGCTTATGAGTATCAGAGGACAGCTTATGAGTATCAGAGGACAGCTTATGAGTATCAGAGGACAGCTTATGAGTATCAGAGGACAGCTTATGAGTATCAGAGGACAGCTTATGAGTATCAGAGGACAGCTTATGAGTATCAGAGGACAGCTTATGAGTATCAGAGGACAGCTTATGAGTATCAGAGGACAGCTTATGAGTATCAGAGGACAGCTTATGAGTATCAGAGGACAGCTTATGAGTATCAGAGGACAGCTTATGAGTATCAGAGGACAGCTTATGAGTATCAGAGGACAGCTTATGAGTATCAGAGGACAGCTTATGAGTATCAGAGGACAGCTTATGAGTATCAGAGGACAGCTTATGAGTATCAGAGGACAGCTTATGAGTATCAGAGGACAGCTTATGAGTATCAGAGGACAGCTTATGAGTATCAGAGGACAGCTTATGAGTATCAGAGGACAGCTTATGAGTATCAGAGGACAGCTTATGAGTATCAGAGGACAGCTTATGAGTATCAGAGGACAGCTTATGAGTATCAGAGGACAGCTTATGAGTATCAGAGGACAGCTTATGAGTATCAGAGGACAGCTTATGAGTATCAGAGGACAGCTTATGAGTATCAGAGGACAGCTTATGAGTATCAGAGGACAGCTTATGAGTATCAGAGGACAGCTTATGAGTATCAGAGGACAGCTTATGAGTATCAGAAGGCAGCTTATGAGTATCAGAGGACAGCTTATGAGTATCAGAGGACAGCTTATGAGTATCAGAGGACAGCTTATGAGTATCAGAGGACAGCTTATGAGTATCAGAGGACAGCTTATGAGTATCAGAGGACAGCTTATGAGTATCAGAGGACAGCTTATGAGTATCAGAGGACAGCTTATGAGTATCAGAGGACAGCTTATGAGTATCAGAGGACAGCTTATGAGTATCAGAGGACAGCTTATGAGTATCAGAGGACAGCTTATGAGTATCAGAGGACAGCTTATGAGTATCAGAGGACAGCTTATGAGTATCAGAGGACAGCTTATGAGTATCAGAGGACAGCTTATGAGTATCAGAGGACAGCTTATGAGTATCAGAGGACAGCTTATGAGTATCAGAGGACAGCTTATGAGTATCAGAGGACAGCTTATGAGTATCAGAGGACAGCTTATGAGTATCAGAGGACAGCTTATGAGTATCAGAGGACAGCTTATGAGTATCAGAGGACAGCTTATGAGTATCAGAGGACAGCTTATGAGTATCAGAGGACAGCTTATGAGTATCAGAGGACAGCTTATGAGTATCAGAGGACAGCTTATGAGTATCAGAGGACAGCTTATGAGTATCAGAGGACAGCTTATGAGTATCAGAGGACAGCTTATGAGTATCAGAGGACAGCTTATGAGTATCAGAGGACAGCTTATGAGTATCAGAGGACAGCTTATGAGTATCAGAGGACAGCTTATGAGTATCAGAGGACAGCTTATGAGTATCAGAGGACAGCTTATGAGTATCAGAGGACAGCTTATGAGTATCAGAGGACAGCTTATGAGTATCAGAGGACAGCTTATGAGTATCAGAGGACAGCTTATGAGTATCAGAGGACAGCTTATGAGTATCAGAGGACAGCTTATGAGTATCAGAGGACAGCTTATGAGTATCAGAGGACAGCTTATGAGTATCAGAGGACAGCTTATGAGTATCAGAGGACAGCTTATGAGTATCAGAGGACAGCTTATGAGTATCAGAGGACAGCTTATGAGTATCAGAGGACAGCTTATGAGTATCAGAGGACAGCTTATGAGTATCAGAGGACAGCTTATGAGTATCAGAGGACAGCTTATGAGTATCAGAGGACAGCTTATGAGTATCAGAGGACAGCTTATGAGTATCAGAAGGCAGCTTATGAGTATCAGAGGACAGCTTATGAGTATCAGAGGACAGCTTATGAGTATCAGAGGACAGCTTATGAGTATCAGAGGACAGCTTATGAGTATCAGAGGACAGCTTATGAGTATCAGAGGACAGCTTATGAGTATCAGAGGACAGCTTATGAGTATCAGAGGACAGCTTATGAGTATCAGAGGACAGCTTATGAGTATCAGAGGACAGCTTATGAGTATCAGAGGACAGCTTATGAGTATCAGAAGGCAGCTTATGAGTATCAGAGGACAGCTTATGAGTATCAGAGGACAGCTTATGAGTATCAGAGGACAGCTTATGAGTATCAGAGGACAGCTTATGAGTATCAGAGGACAGCTTATGAGTATCAGAGGACAGCTTATGAGTATCAGAGGACAGCTTATGAGTATCAGAGGACAGCTTATGAGTATCAGAGGACAGCTTATGAGTATCAGAGGACAGCTTATGAGTATCAGAGGACAGCTTATGAGTATCAGAGGACAGCTTATGAGTATCAGAGGACAGCTTATGAGTATCAGAAGGCAGCTTATGAGTATCAGAGGACAGCTTATGAGTATCAGAGGACAGCTTATGAGTATCAGAGGACAGCTTATGAGTATCAGAGGACAGCTTATGAGTATCAGAGGACAGCTTATGAGTATCAGAGGACAGCTTATGAGTATCAGAGGACAGCTTATGAGTATCAGAGGACAGCTTATGAGTATCAGAGGACAGCTTATGAGTATCAGAGGACAGCTTATGAGTATCAGAGGACAGCTTATGAGTATCAGAAGGCAGCTTATGAGTATCAGAGGACAGCTTATGAGTATCAGAGGACAGCTTATGAGTATCAGAGGACAGCTTATGAGTATCAGAGGACAGCTTATGAGTATCAGAGGACAGCTTATGAGTATCAGAGGACAGCTTATGAGTATCAGAGGACAGCTTATGAGTATCAGAGGACAGCTTATGAGTATCAGAGGACAGCTTATGAGTATCAGAGGACAGCTTATGAGTATCAGAGGACAGCTTATGAGTATCAGAGGACAGCTTATGAGTATCAGAGGACAGCTTATGAGTATCAGAGGACAGCTTATGAGTATCAGAGGACAGCTTATGAGTATCAGAGGACTTGAGTAATCTTTCTCCCTCCCGCTCTCTCACACACAAACATGCGCGTGTGGATGCCCCTTCCCCTCCTCCTTTCACCCCGTCTTCAGGTGTGCGGGCCGGTGGAGGGCAATTACGAGGGGTCGTATCTGACCATGCTGTCACCGGGCGGGTTCATGTTTGGCATTGTCAACATTGTGGGCAACTTCGGTGCCGTCTTCCTCGATAATGTGAGACCCGTGTGTTGTTCAATCAACGCATACCATCAATAATGCCAAACATGTTCCTCGATAATGTGAGACCCGTGTGTTGTTCAATCAACGCATACCATCAATAATGCCAAACATGTTCCTCGATAATGTGAGACCTGTGTTTGGTATTGTCAACATCGTGGGCAACATTTGGTCCCGTCTTCCTCGATAATTTGAGACCCGTGGGCCCACATAACCCGTGCCTGTGTTGTTAGTGGACTTCTATTCCTATTCTCCCTCTGCTTGCCCCTCAAGCTTCACCGCCCCTTCCAATTCTGCTCCCCCTCTCCTTCCCCCCACGTCTATTCAATGAATGCCATAACTTCGCACTCCCATCCTTCCTCCTTCTATTCCATCCATTCTCTCTCCTTCCAACCCTCCCTCTCTCTGCGTCAGGGTTATTGGATGAGTGCAATAGCATCGCGCCCCTCCTCCACGCACAGAGGCTACATTCTCGGAGGCCTTGTCTGGTTCGCTGTCCCATTCTCCCTCGGGACCTCCCTCGGCCTTTCCAGCCTTGCCTTGGGATTACCTGTCACTCTAGAGGAAGCTTCCCGGGGCCTTGTTCCCCCAGCTGCAGCCGTGGCTTTAATGGGGGATGCAGGGGCAGTGCTTATCCTCGTTATGGTGTTCATGGCTGTCACTTCTGCTGGGTCTGCGGAGCTTTTAGCGGTTTCCTCGCTGATGACTTACGATATTTATCGGACATATATCAACCCGAGGGCGACCGGGCGGCAGATTTTGTTTTACTCTAGGGTTTTCGTGCTGACGTATGGGCTGTTTATGGGTGTACTGGCGGTAGGGCTTAGCGAGTTGCGGGTTTCCCTAGGCTGGATGTACCTTGTAATGGGCGTGCTTATAGGCAGTGCGGTTATACCCGTAACGAACCTGCTCCTATGGAAGAAGGCGAATGCAGTGGGGGCGATAGCCGGGTGCATTATAGGAATGATTTCGGGTGTAGTATCGTGGATTACTGTAGCAGTGGTCATGTACGGCACTGTGGATCTCAACAGTACGGGAGAGGAGGCGCCTACGCTGACTGGCAACCTGGTGTCGTTGTTTGTGGGCGGCATCGTGCATGTGGCCTTCAGGTGGGTCTTTGCCGCATCATGCATGTGGCTTTCAGGTCAGTTGTTTTTTAATCCCCTTGCTTCGATGCTCTCAGTCTTTCACTCCCTTTCTCTTTAACGCCCTCTCATTTCACACCCCCTTGCTCTAATTGTTCAGCTGTTTCAATCCCTCCCGCATCCGTGCCTCCTCCCAGCCTCAAGTATCCAGACGACTACGACTATGCCAGCATGAGAGCCGTAACGCTGGTGGACCGACACCGACACTCCAACATCTCCCCCTCACTTCCCAGCCTCATAAACCCTCCCTTCACCTTTCCCTTTTCCACTTATCCCTTTTCCCCCCAGCCTCAAGTACCCAGATGATTACGACTATGCGAGCACGAAAGCCATAACGCTGGTGGACAGAGACTGGCACTCCGACATACCCCCCTCACTTCTCCTTCCTTCCCTCCCTGCCCTTGTCCTTCCACCCCCATGCCCCTTCCCAGCCTCAAGTACCCAGACGACTACGACTATGCGAGCACGAGAGCCATAACGCTGGTGGACAGAGACTGGCATTCAGACATTCCCCCCTGGGAGCACGATGAGACTCGCCTCAAGCAAGCGCGCCACTGGATAATCCTCTGGGGGGTCTGCCTCTCCGTGGTTCTCCTAGCCCTCTGGCCGCTGCTAGCGCTTCCCGCGGGGGTATTTTCCCTGGGGTATTTCACTTTCTGGGTCGTGATTGCGATCACGTGGGGCGTGGTTGCGTCCGCGGTGATAATTTTCCTGCCCGTATACGAGAACTGGCGCGGATTATGGCTGGTCTTAGACGGGTTATTTACGAGTGATATTTTGCAGGAGAAGGTTGATGATATAGGGCTGAGATTGGCTGCGATCATGGCTACCATACCTGAAGCGGAGGCTCGGTACCTACAGTACAAGCGGGAGATTTACGAGCTTCGGCATAGAAGCTCGGGAGTGCCTAGCTGTAGCGAAGGGAAGAGCCCTGAACAAGGTGCAGGGCAGCAGCAGCTGTTTCAGCAGCAGCAGCTGCAGCATCAGGAGCCATTTCAACAGCAGCAGCAGTTGCAGCAGCAGCAGGCGTTTCAACAGCAGCAGCTTCAGCATCAGCAGCAGTTTCAGCAGCTGCAGCAGCAAGGGCAGATACAAGAGGTGCAGCATGAAGGGCTATATGGCCCACAGTAGACAGAGAAGAAAAGAGAAGTGCGGTGATTGTGACAAGAGACGCAAAACAGCGGTGAACGCAACAATGTGTGTCCTGCTCTGCTGGCAATGTGGCTTCGGATCTGCTGATTACAATCTACCGGTATTTTCTTGCTGGCGAGAGGCTTGATTGCAAAAGAGAGTTAAAAAAGATGTTACATAAGCTCTTCTTCTACCAGATATGCAATTGTTACATAGTCCAGAGGCAGCTTCAACCACTTGCATCCTAAGCCCGCTCTCGATCTTGAACCCTCTCTATCAGCAGCAGCCGCATCGACAGCTTCGGCATCCACAGCAGCAGCACCACCAGTCATGTTCTTAAAACCCCTCGTCAAGCAATTGAGCTGATGGTATCCTTCCAATAGAGCCGCATCACTCTCCCAATCCCCCTTGCCATCTCCTTCGTCACCATCCTCCTCTCCTTCCCGTCCTCCACTCACCTTCCCCTGGCCTTCCTCCTGGCCTTCCCCCTGCCCTCCCCCTTGCCCTCTCCCCAGCCCTTCCCACTCCCTCTCCCCCTTCCGCCTCCGCCTCAGCCTGAACTGCTTCCCTCCAAGAAACCCCTTCTCTATAAAGTGCTTCACTATGCGCCCTCCCTCCCTTCTCACACGCCCTTCCAGCCCCTCATACAGATCATGATCCATATCTACATAATATCTCACATCCAGACAAAGCCCGCACGCCACTGCAGCTTCGGCTAATCTCCGAAGCACGAGCTGAGGCTCGGTGGCTGGATGCCTGCTTCGGGCATAGGCTCGGGCGACAGCATTGAGGTTTCCGAACCCAAAGATGTGGTTCGGCTCGAGTGCGTTGCCTTCACCCCACTCGTTCCAAGCCGCAACAAAGAAGAACGTACCATTCGCAGCCCCCGCTTGCACCTCCTCTGATCCCTTCTGAACTCCAACTTTGTTTCGACCTCTTTGCTCTTTCTCTGAACCTTCCGGGGCTTGACCTAAGCTAGGTTCGTGAGTCCTCGTGCCGATTGGGCTGCCGAACCTCGCCCGAACCTCAGCCACGTCTTGCCGAGCCAGCCTCATCCGAGCCTCCATCCTTGCTGTCAAGTGGATCGGGTCCACTGCCACATCTCCGAGCCTCCACGACAGGTCTGTTGAGTGCCTGGGAAAGTTATCCCATGCCACATACGAGCCTCGGTAATGGTTCGGATGAAGCCGAACCACGGATGGGGTCTCGCCGAACCTAAACTTGCGGTAGTTAGGCTCGTATTCTGCCACGGCTTGGACAAGCGAGCGTTCGTTCGGTGTGCTGTTGGTGTGTGTGAGGCACTGGAACAGGTGCAGGCCCGGGAAGCCTTGCTGCCGAGCCAGGCTGTGCCAGAGGTCAAACATCCCCCGAGCCTCAGCTTCGGGAATATCGCCGAGCTGGTAGATACCGAACATAGGGCGGCCTGATACCTAGTGCGGTGGAGATGGGTGCAGAAGAATGAAGGTCAAGAAAGAGGGAAGAGACAGGATAATCGCGTCAGAAGCCACAGGAAAAGAGCAGAGAATACACAAATAATCACATCAGTCAGGTTAGAGATATCATTGGAGGGAGGCAGCTTGGACAAGCAAGGGTGGGACCTAGTTGCCTACCCAAAAAAGTTTGCACAGAACCCACACCATACCTTGATGTAGTTCGGATGGCTAAAGAATTTCAGCAGCCAGTCGAAATGCTCCTTCCAACACCCCTCATCCCCATACGTCTGCTCCAGGAGCACTCCATTCCCTCCCACTTTCGCCCCGTCCCACCGGTTTGTCCACGGCTCATTTGCCCAGATTAGACAAAACGGGAGGTTGGGCTCGCCGTCCTCTAGCATCCGGAGCAGAGGCTCGGCGAGCGTGGTTCGGCGGCATCTGAACCAGTAGTGGTGGTAGCACAGGCCGTGGAACCCGTAGGCTCGGGCCAGAGCTGAGGTCCGGCGGCGGTGGGAGCGAGAAAGGAAGTTATAATACCCACCGGAGAGGGGCGAGAGGGGGTGGGAAATCGGGAGTGCGTTCGAGACGGGGGACGAGAGGGAGTGTAGAGCGGTGTGGAGGGGTTTGGGAGGAGTTGCGGGGCCGATGGGGTGTGCGACAGGGCGAAAGGTGGTGGGGTGGAAGTATGCTCGTTTGACGTTGTCCCACTCGGTGAAATTGACTCCCCAGAACTCATCGTTCTCCCTGCATGCGTGGAACTGGGGAAGGCATAGTGGCAAATGGAAGATTGGAGGGGAAAAAATGGAGAAAAACGGGAGAGGAGAGTTGGTAATAAGGCTCGGCACGCCCCGATCCATGCAATGGTGGCACGGCAAGCACTCATGTTTTGAGCCTGTTTGCGCATCTCTCATTCAATCAATGGACACATGCCAAACCAGCAGCATCGCACATCACCACGCGCCGCATGCGCATCCCATTACACTGCACATCACCACACCAGACCGCACATCACCTGTGGGAAGACTATTGCAATGAGCTTCAAATCAGGATCCACAGTCACTCCTTTCATGCCCACACCGCTGCCGCCCGAACCTCTTTCGTTGGGCGGCAGTTGCATTTCTTCGGGCGGCAACTGTAGCTCTTTGGGCGGCTGCTGCACGAGTGGCAGGCGGCGCAGCAGAGAGAAGGCACATCCCCGGCGCAGATGCCGACACGCTGGGTTCTTAGTGAAAGGCGGACGCGCTCTGGGCTAGAAAGGGGGAGGCGGGGGAAAGAGGGGGACAGGGCACGAGTGACAGTTAGCGCAGCAGAGAGAAGGCACATCCCTGGCGCAGGTGCCGACATGCAGGGTTCTTAGTGAAAGGCGGACGCGCTCTGGGCTGGAAGGGGGGAGGCGGGGAAAGAGGGCGAAGGCGCGGGGAGGGGGGTGGGGGGGAACTAAATGGGGAGTGGAGCGAGTGGGGAAAGCATGGAGTGCGGAAGGAAGGGGAGAGGGAGGAGGAGGGGGGAAGGGGGGGGAGGCAGGGGGATAGGAGCAGATCGAAAGGGTGGTGCCATTCAAGCAGATGCAATGCAGTGCACTACCACCCTCACATGTTCCGAACGAATCTAAAATCAAAAGCCGTGTCGAAGAACGCCCCTGCAATTCCTGGGTAGTCTGCGCGGGTAACCCTGTCCTGATTGCTCACGCCCGCGAGCAAATCATGCCACGCCACCTGGCGGCTGCGCTTCAACCCGCAGCGCGCCGCGGCTGCGTTCATGGAGGACCAATAGCGGCGCGTGAACCATGCCACGATGGCGCGCTCCGGTGGAGGGAATGGCAGAGGATCGTTATCAACGGTCACATGCTGATACAGGGAAGCCGATCTAGTTGAGCCGTTGATAGGAGCGGAGAGGGGAAGGGAATGAATGAGAGGAGATACAGGGAGGACAGGTGGAGAGGAGGAGTGGAGGAGGCGGAGGAAAACGGCAAGCAAGCCCAATTGCAGTGCAATGATGACTGCAGATGTCGTCAGCGGCACGCATCGGCGGAGGTTGTGGGTCCATGGGCACGAGGCCATGGTACTCGCATCAGGGCACTCCTCGATACGACAAAATAAATGGCGTAGCGAAGACTAGGTTTTGATCGCTCCGAAAACGACAGCCACGGAATCTCGTCAGAGCACTCGCGTTGTCAACAGCCAGTCGGTTGTCCCATCAATCATCAATCATCCAGAAAGAAAGACGATCACTTGCACCACCTAACCACAGTGTTGTGATTACTTCAAGGGCGTGCTAGGTAAATGCCCCCCAGGTCATGCTGAGCAGCAGGTCGAAAAGTGGAACTTTCTAGGGCTGCGCTGAATTTTTTTGGATGTATAAACACGCACCAACACTGATCCCTTCTAGGCTCATTTTACTGAAGCACTCAAGTAGTATTTGCATTTTGGCCCTGTTCGACAGGCTAACACCGGCTGCGGAATCATCGCGGCTGTTTCGTTTTCACAAATTTTCCTCACGGTCAGCCCGTGAAATGTGCATCTGGGGCTTTAACACTCGTTAACCTATTGGCAGAGTGTTAGCCTGTCGAACGCAGCTGATACTTGTGGGATTCGCCCGCACAGAAAGAACCAGGTGCCTTCCCGCACGGGCAAAGGTCTAGCCTTCGCCTAGCCTAACCCTCGCCCCCCAACAGTGGGGTTTTGCAAAGGGCTCGCCAGGTGTTTGCAGTGGGAGGAACACCCACTCCGTGGACCCTAAAATAGGTCCTAGTGAACCAGTTTGGTCCGAAAAATTCTCATGCCCTTTTTTTTTCCTGCGTTTGTGAGGGCCGCGATTTGTGGGGATGGGCCCTTTTTTTTCCTGCGCTGTTACCCAAACACGTTTGGCGTGGTCCCCAAACTTCTCTGCTGTGCCCGCGAGGAGCCAGGTTGAAGGAGATGGGCAGCTTCGCCCTTTGGGACCCGCTCCTTCCGACAGCTAAGATTGAAGCTTCATCCCCCAGTTTAGCCCACGAAGGTGCGGTAAACCCTCCTCTTAACACTAGCCCAACACTCGCCTTTTGCAGAGTGTAGCCTGTCGAACAGGGCCTTTATTTCCTATCACACGAGCACCCATTTGCGAGGAAGGCGGGTCATTCCTCCATAGCCACGCTTTCCTTGGTACTTACTAACTCAGCTTAACTCTGCTGCTCTTCTCCAACGAATCAGGAGCAACCGTGTGGTTGACTCGTGGAGTCCACTCGCGTGGCCTGGTTGCGACTAAGCAGCCAATTCAATGGAAGAGGTAGGTCCTGCGCGGATAAGAAACAACGGGAAGCGTCATTATCTGAAAGCGTAACTCTTTGCTTGATGCGCAAGCTAAAGCCTATCCAGCTCGTCACTACATTCTTATCGTCCATCTAAGTCATATACTTCACCTGGTCCTTCAGATTTGTTTACATCTAATACTTCCGCTGTCTAGATTCATTGTCGTTAGGACGGAACGCATTGTTCGGGATGGAGCGGTCACGGTTTGTTTTTGCATTTCTCATTCCGCAGGCCACGTTGTGGAGCTGTGCTTCTGTATTAAACAAATGGATACCAGTAGTGGATCGATGGCATCGCAAATCACGATCAAATTCGGTTCGACCAGTACATAGCTAAGTCACTACATGCTTTCTACCTTCTTTTGATTTTTAGGACGATTTTGAGTTTGAAGGACCAGTTTCTTCGCGAGTCGCGCCCACCAACGGTCAAGAAGCTGCTGGCGCGGGCCGCACGAAGAGCTCGACTGACCGTTTGAAGGCTGGCGGTGCGGTTTCGTCGGGATCCGATGGGGGAGGCGGGGGAGGGGAGGTGGAGGAGGTTGGGGAGGAGGAGGTGGAGGAGGTAGAAGAGGAGGTGGATATATATCCTATGGAAGATGAGCAGGTGCGATTGTTTGGTTGGTGCTGTGCGTGGGAGGTGCTGATGGTATTGCTTGTTTAGGGTGTCAATGCACGATTCTTTTATGAGTAGGCGGGTGTATCCTGTTTGCTATATGCCGCTGGGTGCCTGCTGAGTACATATGAACCCTGATGCCTCGCGGATGGTGCATGGTGGATGGTGCATGGTGGATGGTGCATGGTGGATGGTGCATGGTGCATGGTGCATGGTGGATGGTGCATCGTGCATGGTGGATGGTGCATCGTGCATAGTGCACCATGGATGGTAACTGGTGGATGATACACATTGTATGCTGCATGGTGCATCCCGTGTGTCTCTCAGGCGTCATTTCCAGCTGCTGTGGCTGCAGCAGACGACCATGCCACCACCACCATACTCACCCTTCGTGCCTGGTGCGTTGAGTTCTGTGTCCTTTACACCTTTGTGTTCCAACTTCTAAAGCTACTGCCAGCTAGATTCAAGGTGGAAAAAAACGGTTGTCGAAAAATACGATTGTTTTTTTCGATGGTATTTTACGGTAGCTTTTGGGAAAAAAACGACGTTTTTTTGTTAGAAAAAAGAAACACAAAAACTTCAAAGATGCTATTTTTAGCAAAACAAATGCCTCGCAGCATCTTTTAAAGCATCAGCAGCACTCCTAATGGCCCTCTCGTTCTATTTATGTAAAATTGTCCATGTTCCAGCAGCACATGAGAGATTTTCTTGAAAAAACGATGGTTTTTTTCCACCCAAATGCCACATTTTCCAAAAATCGTTTTTTATCGTTTTTTACGATTGATTTTTACGATACGGTATTATACGATCAAATTTTGAAAAAAACGTCGTTTTTTTGCACCTTGGCTAGATTACGCCCTTTTCTCTTCTTGTTTCTCGTCCCCAGTGACCCTCTCTCACTGTGCCTCTGCCACGTGGCACCCTCTCTGCCTGTCCCTCTGCCACGTGGCAGTGTGGAAGAGAAGGATGCAACCATCAAGAAGCTGCAGGTGCGATTCCACGCTAGGCTCTGCTTTGCTTTCCTGACCTCATTTTCCCACACGTCTATCCCTCCGCACTCTTTAACAATCGCCCTACCAGATCTCATTCTCTCACACGTCTATCCTTCAGCACTCCACAACAAACAAAAGTACATTCGTCCTCACGGCTGCTCCCACCTGTTCCCATCCGTTACAGTCACAATTGGATGAGGCACACGCGGATCTGCACAAGTGGCGCTCGGCCTTCCATCCTGCCAACATCCTTGCCCCTGAGACTACAGCTGGTGAGCTGCCTTGCCTTCCCTGCCATGCTTTTCTTGCTTCCCCTGGGGTCCGAAATAAGTGGCACACAAGCATGGCCTTCCACCCGGCCAACATCCTTGCCCCCGAGACCACCGCTGGTGAGTTGCCCTGTCATTCCTGCTGCTCTGTCATTCCTGCTTCCCTGGGTGTGGGTGCCAGAATCAAGTGCCACACAGTCATGGCCCGGCCTTCCATCCAGCCAACATCCTTGCCCCTAGACCACTGCTGGTGAGCTGCCCTGCCTTCCCTGCTTTTATTAGGCCCGGCACACAAGCACAGGCCTTCCACCCCGACATCATTCTTGTGCCTGAGACTGCCACTGGTGAGCTGCCCTGCCTATCCTGTTCTTCTAGATTCGGGATTAAGTGGCACACAGGCACAACCTTCGATTCAATCAGCATTCAGGAGGAGAGAGGCCACCTTCCATTGTCTCCACCCACCTGCCCTCCCTTCATGTTCGTCGTATCCTTCTTATTCTCTCTTGCTCCATCTCCTTCCCCAACAGAGCCAGCAGCGGTGGTAGCAGCGTTTGAGGCAGTGCGGGAGGCAGAGGCGCAACTGCAAGAGAAGTTGCTAGCAGCGCGGAGGAGAGAGGCCGCCATGCTGATTCGACTGGCGGGCAGGGAGCAGGAGGTGGTTGCTGTCAATGTGGGTGGGTGGGTGTGAGAGCGGGTGTGTGCATGAGTGATTGTGCGTGCATATGGGAGCGGGTGTGTGTGCATGCGAGATTGTGTGCATGCGAGTGTGTGTGCTCGTGATGCATGCAAGCAAGTGTACGTGCAAGAGTGTGTGCATGGGTGCTCGTGTAATTCCATGCTGTTCACACAAGTCATTTCGTTCCCACGATTTCCTATCTGCACTCCCTCCGATCTCACTTGCACATTGCAGGAGCAGCTGCAGCAGGTGTTGGAGAGCATGCAGCCTGCCAGCACGCAGGTGGGTGTGTCGAACTAGGCTCAGTCAGGCTCAGTCAGGCTCATATTCATTGCTAGGCCAGCTTTTCCTCTTTTGATCCTCATGCCAACCTTCTCAACCTCTCTCCACTCCACGTTACCTCCGCACCACCTCGTATCCTCCCACTCATGCTATGCTATCCTTCCCCTCGTGCTATCCTTCCCCTCTGCCTGTACCTCTCTGCGTATCCCCCCGTGTGCACCAGACTCGCTCGCTGCTGCTGGATGCCGCCATACATGCCGAGTTCAAACGACTCAAGGTGAGGCACACTCACTCATTCACATGCCCATGTATTGCATACCGTATACGTGTGCGTGCATGGTGTATACCATATCTTTCCTCATACCCCCCTCCCCTGCCTTTTCTGATGAGTGTGGGAGCTGCAGGATGACCTGGCCTCGGTGCAGTTCACCTTCCTTCCTCTCCATCCCCTCTCCCCCCCCCCCCCCTATCCACCCACATATACCATGTGCCCACCTACCCGTATCCTTTTCAGACTGAGAGCGAGGCGCTGGAGCGGCGAGTGAGAGAGCTACAGGACGACCTAGCAGCGGTGCAGTTCACGCCACACAGCAAGAACGGCAAGATGCTCATGGCCAAGTGCCGCACGCTACAAGAGGAGAATGAAGACATCGGCAGGGAGGCTGCTGAGGGGAAGGTGGGACTTGGGGGAGGTGGTATCTGGCTTTGGGTGGGATCACTGGGGTGGGTGAGTCATAGGGCAGGTGAGTCTTAGGACACGGGTTAAAATGATTCTACATGACAAAGAGCTCGTTCTGCAGATTGAGCTTTGACACACGTCCATTGATTCCTCCTCTGCCGGCCAGTTGCACGAGCGGGACTGGAGAACAAGCTCGCCGTTACGACGTATCTGCTTTGTCAGTGCCAGCATTCGCATGTGCCCACTGATGCCTGCCTGCCCCCCTCCATTTATTCTTCGTGCCCATCATCAGGTGCACGAGCAGGGGAACAAGCTAGCCCTTACGAACTCACCCCTGTTTGACATGCACTTGCGATTCTACTGATTCCATTCATTTTTTCTGTGGTATTCTCGCCCTCTTCCCCATTGATTCCGCTCTGCCCATCAGGTGCATGAGCTGGAGAACAAGCTGGCCCTGCAGAAGCAGCTCAACTCCGAGCTCAAGCGCGGCTACCAAGGTAGTCCCTTCACTCGTAGTGCGCATCACACCCTGCCACTTGGCTCATTACCTATTATACCAACTGTTATAAGACTGAGAAATGGATATGCGGTTGTCTCTGCTTCTCCTGTTGCTTCTTTCCACATTGCCGTTACTCTTGATGCTGCTATATGACAGTTGCAAAGGAATCTTCTCCTTGTCCTTTTCCATCCTACTAACCGGAGCCCTGGCAGAGCTACAGAGGGAAAGAAGCCTGTATCTGACGCGCCTTAAAGCCACATTTTGACCTGCCCTATTTACCCCACCGCCCCTCTCCTTTTTTCTCCCACTGCTTGGCGTTCTGGCAGAGCTACAGGAGTATGTGGATGAGATCAACGAGGAGGCAGAGAAGCTCGAGGAGACGGTGTACAAGCTGCAGAGGCAGCTGCAGCTCAGGGACGCCGAGGTGCAGGAGCTCTCACGCTTCAAGGCAAATGTATTGGAGGCCGAGCGTTCCCAGCAGCACTTTCCCCCACCGCACTCCCAGCAGCAGCAGCAGCAGCCGGGACAGGGCATGCAGAGGGGGGGGTCGCTGAAACGCGAGAGGGAGCGAGAGAGGGACCGGGACAGGCGGCAGGGGCAGCCGCAGGGGCAGGGCATGCAGGGGTCGCAGGAAGGGTCCGAGGCTGAGGATCGGGATGGACAGGGGTTTGTGCGGGAGGGTCGGGAGCGGCACGGGTTTAGGCGGGAGTTTAGTCGGCAGCTGTCGGGGAGGCAGCACCGGGGGCATGAGGAGGAGGATGAGGAGAGGGGCTCGTATGGGGAGGAGCATCATAGGAGGATGCATCACCATTTTGGGGGGAGGGAGAGACAGAGGGAGGGGTCGATTGGGGGTGGGGGGGAGAGTGGGGCGTATGGAGGGGAGAGGAACAGGGATGGGAGAAGGCGGGAGGGGAAGCGGAGCTGGAGGGATCGGTCGATGGAGAGGGAGATTGATGGGGAAGGGCGAGGGCGCCGTGCACCTTCCCTCAGTCCGTGAAAGAACTGTAGTTTCTATTGGCATTATTGGAAGAAAACATAGGTGTGGCTCGTTGGAATTAGCTAAACTTTTATTTCGCGCATGATTGTGCTACACAGCCCAACCGCCATAAGTGGCCCTCCGCTGATGTGGGGCTGAGTCACTCCCCACCAGACCCTGTCCTTCCGAACCTTTTTCTTGGTCCAAAAACCTCTTGACGGTGCTGACAAATTGCCAGCACTGCGCGGAGATCACTTTATTGGCCGCTCGTCCAACTCGCCGGGTTGGAGTGTACCTTTCATCCACCAACCTCGATATGGTCGTGTCAAGGCTCCGTGATTCCAGCTCCGCAAACCCAATCACTTCCCAGACTCTACCGCACAAGCCGTTGCTGGGAACTCCTTTTCCAATCATAAGTCTTCCTTGATCAGCAATCTCGATATTCTTCTGTCCCTGGTTGGTTTGCTCCTTGGCGCGAGAAAAACCCCAAGCCCACCTTCGGGATTCGCGAGTCAGCGCACGCCTGACAGAAATTTCCACTTTTTCCGCCCAGCAGCAACAATCCTCCTGTCGTGAGTTTCGCTTCTCTTCTCCTCACTTCTACGAACAGACTTTTCACACTGGGAAAGCCTGTGAGCTGTGCTCTCCAGGTTCCGCCGTGCGAGCTTTCATGTTAGAGTCCACTGCAAGTCACGTTTCTCCTTATCTTCGCTTGAAAGATCGTCGGGTGGGTTCGTATCCTGCTGCGCATATTCTTTTTTTTTTCGTCACGGATTTTCCATGGCCCTCCGTGTCGTAGAATGTGGGTCCATCGCACCGCTTACCGATTCCGCCAAGGGATTGGGAGTGGCAATTCACTCGAATTCCGTTATGGTCATGCATATTCCCCATTCGTCATTCGTCAGCAAGAAGGACCCTTGCAGCTTGCTCTTACAGGAACGGGCTTGCCGATTTTCCAGAGTTCGCGAATTCCAACGTCGAAGCACTGGAGGTTCGCGTCGAATTGGAGTGAGGGCTTCTAATAACGAGTCAGGCGGAAAGGGCTGGTCTAGCGGCGTGTCTCGCGTGCTAAGCAGCGCGGATAAATGGTGGGAGAAACGGAAGAAGCAGCACAAGGAGCACGCAGATGGCAAACACGGGTACCAGGGTCACCACTCGCAGCACGCAAATCATTCCCACCATCTCCACCACAGATCCTCGAGCGATGAGGAATCCGACGGCGAGCATTCGTCCCGGCATTCGCATCACAAAAACCGACACGGATATTCTGAGGATCACTCGCACCGCCATGACCATAGCCACAGTCATGGCCATCGTAGCCATGAGGGTGAGGAGCATCAGCACAGGAAGCACCATCGGCACCATGACGAGGAACAATCCGCAATTCACCATCAGCACCACCATCATCACAAGCACCGCCACGAGCAACATCATAAGCACAGCAGCCATCACAGCCACGACGCGACCCATCCGCATCATCATAATCCCCACAAGCACCACCATCATCATCACCAAGAGCATCGCAAGGATCATCATCACGAGCATCACCATGACCACAAGCATCATAAACGGCATCAGCACGAGGCAGAGAGAGTGGATCACCATCACTCGCATCACCATCACCATCCCCACGGACACCACCATAAACGGCACAAGGACCAGCGGCGACCAACCGACGCCAGACTCCCGCCATCTATTGCCGGAATCCCTCCCGGGCCGCTCACAGACTTCGCCTTCTGGGTTCGCAGAACCTTCCTGTCGAAAGACGCGTTTGAGCCGCCGCAGCCGCCGCCGTACAGCATTAATCTCTCCAAGGACCAGGCCGTGCTGCTCCTTAATGTCCTCGCGTTCGGATACGCCGCCACCGCGGTGACCGTTAAGCTCATGCAGGAGCTTCACGGGGGGCCCGGCGCGGGGGGAGAGGTCGGGGGAGCGCTTGCCGGCGCGGCAGCGGTGACTGCGGCGGGGGTGGCGGTCGGGGAGGCGATTTCGACGCCTGTGGGGGAGGTAGTGAGTGACGTAATTGGGGGAGGGTTTTTCAGCGGGCTGCTGGGGGAGGGTGTGTTTGAGGGTATGTTCGGCTCAGGTGCCGTTGGTTATCCTCTTTTTGGGAGTCTCGATACAAGCGTAGAGTTCGCGATTCGGTTTTTGTTCGCGACGATCGGGCTGGGCGGGTTCGCGCTGGTGAGACACGTGGCGAGGATACACCACGAGAGGACGCACCAAAAGGAGGCAACCTGGGGAGAGAAGGTGCTCGGAAACTTTCGAAACTCGTGGGATGCGGCGTGGGACATGTGGGGTAACACTGGGTTGAGCAACCCCATGACGGCTTTACTGGGGGAGGGCGCAACTGACGGCGGGGAGACCAACAACAGGGGCAGCAACGGCCGGGGAGAAACAGAGCCGGAGGAAGAGAAAGTGAAGAAGAAAGGCAGGAGGGGGCAAGGAGGCAAGGAGGGGCTAGCGGCGGGGGTGTGGGAGTCAATGGTGGGCGGCAGCAAGAAGGAGCGGCGGGAGAGGAAGGCGATGGTGGTGGGGGGCGTGGAGCTGGGCGTGTGGATGTTTGTGACGTACGCGGGGCAGGCCATTGGGCTCGAAACCACCTCCGCGGATGACGCTGCTCTCATCCTCACCGTCTCGGTACGATCAGTATCTCTCGCCTCCAAAAACCTTTCCCTCCCGTGAGACGTCTCACAACCAGTTTACTTTGTGGACGGCGCTTCTTTCACCAGCACCGTCTCAGGTACGATAAATTGCTCCTTCCCAATAACCCCCTAACACGAGCAAGTGAATTCGACGTGAGATATTTCGAAACAAGGTCACTCGGCGGGCGGAACTGCCCTAATCCCGTCTCTGTACGGTAAATTTCCTCCCAGTCGCCCCCTCGATGTTCCCCCAATTGCCCCGCCAATATCCCTTCCAAAGCCCTCTCTCCCCACCCCTCCTCGATGGGTCCCTCACGCATACACACACTCACACCCACTTCTTCAATTGTCCCTGTGAATCCTGTGTTTAAAATCTCACCGGCTGGCCCAGCACGCTTCATCTCCTCTAGACTCTGGCCCTTTGTTCCAGCCCTGCCACTTGCCACGCTCGCTCATACTTGATTCTACAGCATGGGTCTGTAACGGATTGTGCATAACCAGTCACATCCCATGCGTGCGACCCACTGTACCGCACTGCACTGCAGGTGGTGCTGGTTCCGTTCCTGGAGGCCCTGTCAGGCACGCCCATCAACCGCAGCGTGTGGATTGCCACACTCCTCGCCTGCACCGGTGCGCTCTCCACGCTTTTCATGCTCTCCACGCTTTTCATGCTCTCCACGCTTTTTCATGCTCTCCACGCTTTTCATGCTCTCCACGCTTTTCATGCTCTCCACGCTTTTCATGCTCTCCACTCTCATAAAGCTTCCGCCTTCTTCTCCTTTCCTGCCTCCAGCGCCTTTTCTGTGTCTTCTCACTTGCTCACGCATTTGTTGAACTCCTGCGGCGTGTGCCCCATTTCTTATCCTCAACCCTCACCCATACCCTCATCACGCCCACACCCACACTCACACCAACAGGCATGGTGATGTTGGAAGGCGGAGAGACCATCACTGCTGTTGCAGTAGCAGCCACGCCAGCTGACATCATCGCCAGCTCAGCATCAGCTTCCTCCAATGCCATCGCTGACACAGCAGCAGCAGCGCTGGCATCGGTGCCCGTGCAATGGAGCCTGCCTGTGGGCCACGTGTGGTGCCTCATTGGCGCTGTGGGCTCTGCCATCCACGTGGTGAGTGTGCCATCCACGTGGTGAGTGTGCCATCCACGTGGTGAGTGTGCCATCCACGTGGTGAGTGTGCCATGCATGTGGTGAGTGTGCCATCCACGTGGTGAGTATGCCATCCACGTGGTGAGTATGCCATCCACGTGGTGAGTATGCCATCCACGTGGTGAGTATGCCATCCACGTGGTGAGTATGCCATCTGTGTCATCCTGTAGCTGACATGTATCCTCCCACACTCCCATTGCTCCCCCTCCTCTTCCTACCAGGTCCGTTCGGAGGTCCTATGCGCGCGCTACGACCCGCTCATCCTTGTGATTCTCCAGCTCGGCACCACAGCAGTCTGTGTTCCCTCTTTTGCCCCCTCCCCTTCCACCGCAGGTCCGTTCCGAGGTTCTATGTGCGCGTTACGATCCGCTCATCCTCGTAATTCTCCAGCTCGGCACCACGGCAGCTATCGGCGTGGTGTGGGTGCTGCTCTCGCTGGCAGGCATCGCGCTCACAGCAGGGGGGAGTGCAGTGGCGGGGGCAGACGGCAGTGGGGCAGTAATAGCGTGGAACCAGCTGCTGGCCGTGGCTGCTGCTGCTCCCATCAGCATGGCATTGCTGGCTGGGCCCTTTGGAACAGGTAAGGTGGAAAGGGGGTGCTGCTGCTGATGGGTTGGGTGCTTGGGTGGGCTGCTCTCCCCAACAGCCATCGCGCTCACAGCAGGGTGAGGAGGGGGTATGGGTTTGGGGAGGGGCAGGCGGCAGTGGGGTTGTGGTGGCGTGGAATCAGCTCCTAGCTGTGCCTGCTGCTGCTCTTATCGGCATGGCATTGCTGGCTGGACCCTTTGGAACAGGTAAAGACAGGGGGTTGATGCTTTCGTATGACTTTTGAGTCGACTCAAAAGTCAACTCGGTAAAGACAGGGGGGTGCTGCTGCTGATGGGGTGGTGGTTTGGTATGCCCTGCTCCTCCAACCCTTCCCCACAAACTACCTCCCCCCCCCCACCCCCCCCCCCCCCCCTCAACCCCTCCTCCATTCTCTCTCACTGCCGTCATTTCTCCTGTTCCTCGTCCCTGTCCGGCCCACCTGCTGCCACCACCTGCAGGCATGTGCGAGTGGCTGGAGATGGAAGCACTGCGGTTCGTGCGAGCATCAACAGCCACGCTCATTCTCACCATGAGCCCACTCTGGGGCAGCCTCCTGGCCTTCTTTTTGCTAGGAGAAACACTTAGCACATCCACTGCTGCGGGCGCCATTCTTATACTGCTCGCCAGCCTAGAGGTGCAGCTGTTAGCGCCACATGCAGATGGGGAGGATGAGGAGGGAGAGGAAGGGTATGAACAGTATGTGCAGGAAGGGAAGGGTGGATGGTTAGGTTTTGGCAAAAAATGGTGAGACGCATTGGAGAATGTGGAGCTGCACTGATTTTGTAGGCTCGTTATGTGTTAGTGCCCTGCGGATTCGATAAGAGTTTTCCCAAGAATGCAATAATCTTTTGATAAAAGTCGGAGTCTCTATCATGGTGGTTGTGTGCTGCTGTATTATCACGTGCACAACTCCCAGAGATATTTGTTTTCATGGCTACTTTGAAAATTCATGATAGAGGCGTTCATACTACAGAGAACCCCAAACACCAACTGCCAGAATGTACAATCGCGGATGGAGGGCATTCCCCCACAGCGGGTCAACTTTTTTCATGGCTGGTTTGGATGAGTTGACCGTTTTCGACCATTGCGCCCCAGGCAAAACCCACCCTCATTCCACCGCATGCCAGCTTTGTTTTGACATGATCAACAGTTGTGACTTGTAGCATCTGCTCGTCGGGGAACATGGCGGTGGCTTGAAATTCTCCGACTGCCAAGCTGGACAGAAAGAATGTGGCTGACATCAGCACACATATGCTGCCGTGCTGTGGTGGCGGTGGCGTGTCGCGGCTATCATGATCGAATCTCGGCGGATAAGCTGTCAACCTCCAGCATTGCAGAGACGGTTGAGCAGGAAGGGCCACAAGTTCCCCGGTCAAGCACAGAACCTACCGTGGGCCAGTGGGAGTTGGGCCAGTCGCACCAGGGGCCTACACAACAAGGCGTTGGCAACAAGGGTCTGTCAGATTTGCAGTCGAAGGTTTGGCCGGATTGTGCGAAGACGTCGCATGTTTTTCAATGATTGGTTATTTTGTAGTTACCATGTGCAGTTCCAGCTGGGAATTCGATTCTAGGCAAGGAATTCGATTCCAGCTGGAAGGCAGTGCATGCCTAGTCAAGTGCCTGAACCGAACTCACGAGCTTCCAATCTCTCCGCTCCAAGCTCTCCGCCATGGCTCCTAGGAGAACTTTAACTCACACAATGTAAAGCTAATCGCTATCAGTTTCAAGATCTGAATACATATTCCGGATCTACTCATCAAGAGCTTGATTACGACACCATTTTGTGTTCAAACAGAAAACATTGGTTCGTCGCGACTTCCTCTTGTGAAGATCTGTTTTTCAGGTTTTTAACTGGTTTTAAGCTCAAGACATTAAGTTACTCCATGGAAGTGATAATGGCCAAGCTTAGCACAAGTCGTCACCCAAGTTGGAACCTGGACAGCAAGAAAGGCTTGACACACCATGAGAAGAGAAAGTACACAGCAACTGGACCGCCAAATATATTTCGTCTATCAACATTCTCTTCAATTGTTCGACAACAGACTTTAAAAGAGACGTCGCGTCAGCCGCGGACATGTTTTTTACCGTCGGGGATAAGGGCGAAGGGCAGAGGGGGAACGGGAACGGCTACGGGAAGGGCGGGAGGTACGGGAAGGACTCTCTTGGGCTGCAATCCGTGCAAACGGGGCAGCCGGCAGCGGGTGTAACGCCCTCTCTTGGCGCGGCAGTCCAGGCGACTCAGCAGCCGCAGGCCGCGGGGAGCCACTCCCTACTGAGCTGGCTGTTCGGTTGATGTGATGATGGTCCGTGGACATAATGGTGTTTAGGGCGTTGTCAGGTCATACATTACAGTTCATGCTTCGTGGCTCAGGAGGTTTCACGCTGTGGAAAGCGGTTCTCGATGTTTGCCATTTTGCACTGTGGCAGAGTGAATTAGGCTGCAGATACCATAGTGGATGTGCGACCTGACCACGCCCTTTCACACTAAGCTAGATCACATATGCTGTTGGTGATTCTCTCATGCTTATAGAGTGCTCCCCTTGTGCTAGTTGAAGAATGTTTTCTGTCAACTCAACACCTACATTTGGAACACTCTAGCTAGTTCATGTCATCATCAAGTCTTATCATGGATGGAGCCCCAACCCATCCAGTTCATCCTGCATTATGAAAGCTTACCAATTGGCTGAAGTGGGTCTCAGAATGCGGACTAGTCTAGCTGCATGGTGCAGCGCACCCAAACTGCTCAGGGTTCCATCACCACAAGCTGTTTGGTGCCTGGAACCTAAACTTAGCGGCAATTGACATTCAACAGTGAGTGAGCGAGCTTGCCGCGGGTCTTAGTTATTGGTTATAAGCACACTGCTGTTAGTTCAGTTACCAGGCGCATGGACAATTCCAGACTCGCTCACCTCATGGTTGGGGTTGTGATGGTATCTCCTTAGCAGTTAAAAATGTAGGTGTAACGGAAAGTTCTGTCAGCCAAACCAGAGAATCGAAATTCACCTTGTCGAAATTCTCAATCGAGGAACTCACCTGAGAGACCTCATAATCTGACTTGGGTGAAACTGTATCTTTGTCGGTTCTCCCACCCACTGCGGGTCGCTTCACTCAGCTGCAGCTGACGTGGCCATGTGAATGTGCAGGTTCGACAAATATTGTACATCCTGTTCTCGATTATTTCACACCCCTTAATCTTACACCCTGGGGTATTTACCCTAGGTCAATCGTTTTCGTAGGGTAGTTGCCAGCGTGTAGGAAAACCGCCGAGGAGGGTCCGACGTACTTTCGGGTTTGGTCGGGGTGCACCAAGAATATAAAAGAGAACCCAAACCTAACTAAAGCCTCACCCCGAACATTAAGTGCGAGTTTATTTCTAGAGGCTACCTGCCCGTTGTATCTTTATAGTCCCTCAATCTCTGGGTGTCCGTCGCATCAAGAAAAAGCCCGTAAAGGGTAACTACGAAAAAAAATGTAGGGGGTGTGCAATGATCGAGAACTAGGTGTACAATAGGTGTTGCTTGACAGAAAGGACAATTTGGTCCCCTGGGCTCGGAATTTGGTTTGGGCCAGAAAAGCCACCTGGCGTTTCAATCACACTGAAACGGTGTTCGCCCAGCTCGCCGACTGTTTCGTTAACCATTCTGTTCAATGTTACTAAGTTTCGTTCAATGTTACTAAGTCTCACCAATGATTTAGGCGAAACCCGTCCGCTCGCCACATCGTCCCCCTCCAGTATCCTCCCCTTCTCCAGCTCAACCTTCCTCACCCCAGTTTCGACCTTTTCCATTCCAAGTCCAGCTTCTTGGCCCACCCCGCCACTCCCGCGCGTCGTCCCCCCACCATCCTATTTCCTTTCTACCTTATCATTCACACATCATTGCATATATTGCTATAGGTGACATCTCTACTGAGCTCTTGGCATTTCCGAAATAGCATTTCCCTCCGCGCAGCGAAGCGCTTTGTCCAATACATACTTCCACCCTTGTAGAGACCACAGCAGGCCCGCCATGGGAACTTCACCAGTTCGACTCGTCAGCATCTTCCTTCTATTCACCCTTCTAAGCATCCAAGCCGCAGCAACAAGGTACGGCCGCTCCGGAGCGCGTAAATCCGAGACGCCCCTAGAGAAAGCCGTTCGTCTCCGCGCGGTCGCCGACCAAAAGGCGGCGCAGCTCGACGCGGCGGAGCAAATCGCGTCGCTGCTGCAGCAGCAGGAAGCTGACGCGCAGGAGAATCTCGACACCGCGAAGACCGACGCGCAGGCGGTGGCGGCGGCGTGGGTGCAGGCGCGAACCGCGCTCGACAGCGCCAAGGCGGTCGCGGTAAGCGCGCGGAAAGCTGCCACAGCCGCGCGGAAGACTGTAGCGGGGAAGAAGCGGTACGAGGGGTACTCCAAGGCGCAGGCGGCGGTAGCGGAGGCGGAGCGGAAATACAACGAGGCGAAGCAGAAGCGCGAGCAGGCGGACGCCGCATATGCCGCCCAGCAAGATATTGTGAATCAGCTACAGCCGTCGAGCTACGGCACCCAGGCGGGATACGCGCAGGCGTATGGCAGTTCGTCGTCGTATAATAAGGAGCAGAAAAAGGCGAAGGAGTTGAAGAAGAAAGCCGACGAAGCGGCGAAGGAGGAAGCGAAAGCGGCGGCGAAATTAGCGGCGGCGCGGGCGGCGGCGGCGAGCGCGACGACGCCGACAGCGGACGAACAGGCGCAATTCGAGGCGATCCAGGCGGCGGAGGCGCTGGCGGCGGAGGCTGAGGCGCAGGTGAAAACAGCAGAGCTGGAGTTCAAGGCGGCGAGTCAGAGCATGAAGAAAGCCGCGGCGCAGGTGAGCGCGGCGAAAGAGCAGCTCAAGGCGGTTACCAAGAAGCGCGAAGCCGCGGACAAGCGCGTGGAGCGGCTGGCGGAGGAGGCGCAGAAGGCGGACGAGGCGGCGATGGCGGCGGAGGAGGAGGCGGGGACGCGCGCGCCCGGGTCTGAGGAATCGCCGGGAGACGACGACGACGACGAGAATGACGACGACGACGATGATAACGAGGATGATGATAACGAGGATGACGATGAAGACTATGATAGCGTGGGGGCGAACGAGTGGAAAGGGTTGGACTCTGCTGCAGGTGCTACTGTAGCGCCGAACCAGGTGGGGCAGCCGTTGATGGTGCGGGACGTGCCTGTGCAAACAACGAGTCTGCCTGTAGCGGACACAGCCGCCCAGATGCCGCAGGCAGGGCCGGAGCCCACGCGACCCACGGAGCCTAGCTACATGTTCTAGATGGGGGCGCGAGGAGAGAGGGAGGGGGGAGAGGTGGAACGAGGGTTGAGGGGAAGAGTGAAAGCTGTGGCTGGGTAATCGGATTCCTTTATTATTATGTTTCTCTTTCCTACCAGGCGTAGGTTGATACTTCATTGGAGATGCATTGGCTGCGTGAGGCATACGCACTGCAAGTACATATATTCCATGTATTATTTTTGCTGTTATTTTACTTCCATTATTGGAGCAGTTGCACCCAGCCACCATCCAGTCCACAATATCTTGCTCAATCCTGCTGCTGCTCATAAATCTGGATATAAGCTTCAGAAAGAGCCACCATTTGAGGCAACGTCTCTGTAACATGCAGATCTTGCATCTCGTACCTGTGGATTAACAAAGGGAGAAAAAAAAACACGGGAGGGAACACACATGGTAAAGCTGGGTCATCTGCATCTCAAGTTCTGTCCAAACTCATCCCAGACTGTCTTCTAAAGGTGGGGCCTCTCTCTGTGGAGTGGACCAGACTAGATACGCCGTGGTCCGTAAGCCCAGTGCGACACAATCACTCCCCTCCTCGTGCCACTTCTCGTATCGTCTGCACAAACGCATGGTAGCAGGCCCACACCTCAGAGCGTGGAACATCCTTATGACCAAGTGTTTGGTTGCTTGTTTGGTCGCTCATTTGGTTTCGTCACTCGTTTGCAACAAGTTTCGCTTGGTACCACACAAAACCACAAATTGTGAATCAAATTCGCTTTTGGGAATTTGGAAGGCACCCTGGTCGACCAGCAGCGAAAATTAGCGAGAACACACGAAGAGAAATACTTTCGTCATCTGCTTCGCAGCGAATCGTGTGCGAGTATTTCACCCACGAAAGCACCTGGTTGCACGTCGCATGTTTCTGCTTGCCAAACCATTTCTTGTCCTATCCGTATGTGTGGGGCGACCAAAGTACATAAGCTGTGGTACGTGCATGCATCTTTCAGACTTCGTCACTCCCCTACGAGGCCCCATGGCAAGAATCGCAAATGGGGTTACAGTCGGATTTGGGCGACCAATGCCTTGTTCATAAGGATGTTCCACGCTCTCAACCACCCAAACCCTCCTCAATCCCCGGTCTCACCATGCTTCTTCTGCCTTGCGCTGCACGAACGAACGGTTGGAGCCCTTGACAGGCTTGCCATCATGCACGCCATCATGCACAACACTGAGAATGAATCAGGCCGTACATGGATTGTTCAAATTCAAAGCTGACCTTTGAGTCCACTCAAAAGTCAGCATGTTGACAATGAATCAGGCCGTACATGGCTTGTTGAACACGGCGCGTTCAACAGGGCTCGTTCAACACTGTGCCTTGAACAAGACATCCACTCACCATGCTTCTTCTGCCTTGCGCTGCACGAACGCGCGGTACGAGCCCTCCCCCGGCTTGCCGTCATGCACAATGTTGGCGATCAGGTCGTACTTGCTCTCGACCCATCCGCTTTGCCCGCGCCAGCAAGGCACCCACTCACCAAGCCTCTTCTGCTTTCCGTTGCACGAACGCGCGGTACGAGCCCTCCCCCGGCTTGCCATCATGCACAATGTTGGCAATCAGGTCGTACTTGCTGCGAAGCTTCCCCCCTCCTTCAACGCCCTCCAGTGGCAGATAGTCCTTCAGCTCTAGGTTCTTCACTGGGAAGTTCACTGCAGGAGGGAATGGGGGAGATGCACATAAGGAGCCGTTGCATGGCACCTTGCACCTTCTGCAGTCAGTGGTAGATAGTCCTTCAGCTCTAGGTTCTTCACTGGAAGATTCAGTACAAACAAGTAGGGTACAGCACGGAAGAAACGAGTAAATACGTACATGAAAGAAAAACATGCTGCAGACAAAAAATGAAGAGACAAACCCAGCCAAAACAAAGGTCTGTGCTGTACACGCGGAGGAGGGGCGCACCAGGGAATGCGCACTCACCTAGAGTGGGATTCTTCTCTATGAAGAAATTATTCTTCTTGAATCGCTTCATATGGAGGATGAGGTACCGCGGTAACCGCGTGATCCGATACCGCATTCGGGCAGGATGCGGGCGCACCACTTCAGTCACGGTCTGCCCGTCAAACTTCTTCAAAATGTTGAACAGGGGAACCTGAGGAATAATATTCTTCTCCATTACGTCCTTAAAAAGCGGGGGAGGAGGCAAATCTAACCCCAACATCAGAAACGGCATTCGGCTGACCTCCCGTTTCACCCCTTCCTCTTCTTTCTCCCCTTCACCCTCCCCCCCCTCCTTCCCCTCCTCCTCCTCCCGTTTCCGCTTCTTCCCCTCATCCCCACCGCTGCTCTTCCCCGCGACCTCTTTAATCACTTCCAGCTCCCCCTGAAAGCACTCCTGGATTATGGAGCTTATATGATGCGCCTTTTTGCCCGCGGCTTTAGCTGCAGCAGCAGCGCTTTTAGCTAAGTCCGCGTGGAGAGTGTTTAGCAGCCAGGAGAGGAGGTCGAGAGGGTCGGACTGCTGGCCTATGAGAAACCGCTTCTTACTGGCGAGCATGATGGCTTGGAGGAACTCGTGGGGGCTGACCTGAAGGTTAAGGAAGGGAGGGGGGGAAGGGGTGTAAAGGGGTGAGTCAGGGGGATCAAACTGCCGGCCTATAGAGAACCGCTTCTTGCTGGCGAGCATGATGGCTTGGAGGAACTCGTGGGGGCTGACCTGAAGGTTAAGGAAGGGAGGGGGGGAAGGGGTGTAAAGGGGTGAGTCAGGGGGATCAAACTGCCGGCCTATAGAGAACCGCTTCTTGCTGGCGAGCATGATGGCTTGGAGGAACTCGTGGGGGCTGACCTGAAGGATTAGAAGGGGAAGGGGGAAGGGAGCAGGGGGGTTGGGATAGGCCAGCAGACAAAGTTAATAAGAGCGGCCAAAAGGAAAACAAAAAACTCTCCACTTGGCGCACCTGCCCCTTCAACTTCCTTGGGTGCCACACCTTGCGCACCAGCTCTTCAAAGCGTCGACAATTCATTTAACATAGCAAAGAACAGGACATGCTTTCCGATTGCCATACCTGCCCCTTGAAGTTGCTTGGGTGCCACACCTTGCGCACCAGCTCTCCAAAGCATGACAGCCCCCAACAACTGACAAATACCATGCCAGAATGAATACAAGTCCTTGGGTGCCAAAGCGTCAAGAGATTGCACAGCACAGTCACCAAAGGGCAGCTAAATGAGAAAAGATTCGCCATTCAACGCACCTGTCCTTTGAAGTTCCTTGGGTGCCACACTTTCCGCACCAGCTCTCCAAAGCGGCGCACGAGGGCAGTTGGTTGGGCGGCGGGCGAGTGGGAGGCGGGCGTGTAGTTGGCGGGGAGCAGGAAGAAGTTGCGGAGAGGCGTGACTCGCATGAGCGACTGGATGATCACGTTCACATACCCCGTGTCCTTTATGTTGTTCAGACCCACCTGTGAGTGAGGGGTAAGGGGTGAAGGGGGGGGACAAGGGAGACACAGGAGGGGAGCGACTCGCATGAGCGACTGGATGGTCACATTCACGTACCCCGTGTCCTTTATGTTGTTCAAGCCGACCTGTGAGGGAAGAGCAGGGAGGGGTAAAGGGTGGGGAGAGAGCAGTGCATGAGCGACTGGATGATCACGTTCACGTACCCCTTGTCCTTGATGTTGTTCAAGCCGACCTGAATAAATGAAGGGGTGGGGCGAGGGGAAAGGAGGAGCAGGAGTGATGGGGGAACGGAGAGGGGAGTGAGAAAGAGGGGAGTGAGGGAGAGATGAACACACTCTAGAGTCGAGCCAGCAGGCAGCTTGTTGCGGAGAGGCGTGACTCGCATGAGCGACTGGATGATCACGTTCACGTACCCCGTGTCCTTGATGTTGTTCAGACCCACCTGTGAGGGAAGCGATGAGTGCGGCGGGCGTCAGGAGGAGGAGGAGGAGGAGGAGGAGGAGGGGGAGGGGGAGGGGTGGGAGGGAGACTTTTGAGTCGACTCAAAAGGAGGAGGAAGAGGAGGAGGAGGAGGAGGAGGAGGAGGAGGAGGAGGAGGAGGAGGAGGAGGGGTGGGAGGGAGACACAGAGGAGTACAGGGGAAGGGGAGAGGACGAGAGGTGAGGGAGGGAGAGATGAACACTCTCTTGAGTCGGGCCAACCGGCCCCTAGTTGTGGAGAAGGGGGACTTGCATGAGCGACTGGATGATCACACTTACGTACCCCGTGCCCTTGATGTTGTTCAGACCCACCTGGAAGGTTGGAAGAGGTTGGAAGAGACATCCCGCCAACCACTACACACTGCACTCACCATGCCAGGAATAAAATCCGTGCCACATGGCACCCCTCACCACCCCCCATTGTCTGTATTACACCGCACTCACCATGCCGGGGATGTAGTCCGTGCCGTCCAATGCACGAGCCCACTGCTTGCTGTGGTCGAACTGCTCTATCTGGGCGGCCGTGAACCTGGTGACGTCAGGAAGGGAGAACGCCAGAGACAATGTGCAAGAGGAAACGGGGGAGTGAGCAAGAGGAAGAGAGGGACAGGGATGGGAGTACGCCAGAGACAATGTGCAATCCAACACAGGACAGCATCCACTCAAGGATGATTGACCACCTTCAGCGGTTGAGCAGTCACAGGGGGAGTCAGCGCAGCACTCACCGCAGGTTGAGAACGCTCTTGATGTCATCGAGCGAGGGGTTACCTGATAGCCATCGGGCAGGCAGTAGACCTTCTCGGAATGCAGGTTGATGAACACGTGGTGCCCTGCTTGGGACGAACCCTCAGCAGCCGCCTCACATGCCCAAACGCGTGCTCCCACAGCAGCACTCACAGGAAGTTCACACCAGCACTCACCGTGGGTTGAGAACACTCTTGATGTCATCCAGTGACGGGTCGGAGACTTGATACCCGTCGGGCAGGCAGTAGACCTTCTCCGTGTGCAGATTGATGAACACGTGGTGGCCCGCGTCCACACTGTGCGTCACCGCGTGCGACGAGCGCGCGCGGCCCTGGAAGTACTTGCCGCACACAAGGCAGCCGTACACGTTGAGGTTTGAGAGGGAAACGGAGCAGAACTTCTCAAAGTCGAAGTCCAGGAGCTGGAAGTATGGAGGAAGGAGGAGGGGGGGGGGGGGGGGAGGAGGGGGTATGAGTACACAAGAGCGGCCGTGGAAGTACTTGCCGCACACGAGGCAGCCGTACACGTTGAGGTTTGAGAGGGAGACTGAACAAAACATTTCAAAGTCAAAGTCCAGGAGCTGGAAGTATGGGGGGAGGTGGGGAGAGGGGGCCGGGGGGTGGGGTATGAGTACACAAGAGCGGCCCTGAAAGTACTTGCCGCACACGAGGCAGCTGTACACGTTGAGGTTGGATAAAGACACCGAGCAGAGCTTCTTGAAATCAAAGTCCAGAAGCTGGAGCGGGGGTAGATTGAAAGATAAGTGAGTGCACAGGGGGGGGGGGGGGGGGGGGGGGGAATAGACAGCAGCGCGCGGTCCTGGAAGTACTTGCCGCACGCCAAGCAGCCGTATATGTTGAGATTTGAAAGAGAGACCGAGCAGAACTTTTCAAAGTAAAAAAACCAGGAGCGGGGGAAAGGGAGAGGGGAGAGAGAAAAGGTGAATGGGCGGGTTGGAGGAATCAGAGCAACAACGTGCTTCTGAAAGTTGTCAGAATAGATTCCGTGTGACCCGCAATTGTCGGCTGAATGCGGACAGCTGACCTGCCGGTTGACCGTGTCAACGTACCTGCCGGTTGACCGTGTCAAGGTACGGACACTCGCGCCGAACCTCCAGATGGCCTCGCCTGCCGCTCACGCGAATCTCATCCCCCTCCTCGTCGTCGTCCTCGTTTCTATCCTCCTCGTCATCTGCGTACTGCACAAGCCCTGTATCTTTCGGATCGGTTTTGTCATTTGCGGATCGGTTCTTAGCTCCTTCCAGGCTGTGTGAGAAGAGCGACCTAGCCTCTGAACCAACCGCTGCTGAAACTCCGCCCAGACTAGCCAAATCTGCCATCGGCAACGAAAACAAGACGACAAAACACGGTCTGTTGCACTTCGAGATATCTTGATTTTAGGGTTCGCAAGCAGAGCTAGGGACGCTATGAACGAAGTAGCTTCTAACTAGGAGCCCGTCAACGTAGATTCTAGAACTTGGCGAAAATCCTCTTTATGGGCAAGATCGCTACACTACATTCCAGAGAGCTCCACTTCATTGCTATCCTTCTAACTGAATTTGATGTTCCGCCAAGTTTGTGTTGGACAAGTTTGTCGTCGATAATACGCCAGTTGCCCCACCTGAAGCTTCATGTTGCACCAGTCGCCAGACCTTGTTCCGCGGCTCTCGACCAAGCATGCCCAGCCGACATCTTGCAAACCCGTCAGTGTGACCCGCACCTGCTTAGGTGGCTAATATTCATTGGCCTCGAAACGCACGTTTGCGGGATGGGGTCGTACGGGGGCAGATTCACATTGGCCTTTTCAAACCTGACCAACAGCGAAAGAAAACCTGCGGGAGCTCTGCGCTTCGGCCCTCTAACCTGCGGGACGAAAAGTCGCGAGCAAATGATTGGACAAGAGCTGCTATCAGGCTGTCATGAAATCGTGAAAAGTCATTGACGAAGGCTTCGCATGATCGCCAAAACTTGCTGAAGTTACCCCAGAATACATATCAGCGGCTACGAGTGCTTGAATACGGAATGGACGCTCTAGATTCGATATCTAGTTTATCTGTGGGTGTGCGGAAGAATCAAGGAACTGTTCTGGCACCTCGATGTTGGATTGGATTCCTCCATGCTGCTGCACCATCCCCCTGCTCCCCTCCTCCCTCTCCTCCACTCCCCAGATGCCACTCTTGGGAACACACAAGTCACCACTAGAATGCTGCTGACCCCTAGCATTTCCGTTCCGAGCAGGTTTGTCTGTCCGTGAACAGGATACCTCTGCTCATCCCAGCTTCTATCACTGACTTTTGGTCTTCCATCATCGTACCCGAAGCTAGGGCAGAGCGCTGACGAGGCACTTATGAAGTTCCTTGCTAGTCAGAAATAGAGCGGCATCTGCCTTGGTTTTCGCACTCTCTCATGCCAAATTCCAAACGATTTGTTCGCAGCAACCACCTCCGCTCCACGGCGTTCCCCAGAGCCATGGTCTCGAAGCCATGGCGAGGCTTGAGACATCTAGCCGTCGTCGTCACGCTCCTGCTCATGATAATCTGTCTCCAACAGACTGCATCGGAAGGTACTCGTTATGGTCTCATCTCAGATTCCTTTCTGCTGACGAATCCTATTCCGTAATCGTACCCTGTCCTGTTTATCCATACCGACTTTCGCTTAACCTTCCCTGAACTTCCCCCGGTGCATACGTGCATGCGCAGAGCTCCCGCCGGTGGTGAGCGTGGAGAGCTTCGTGCACGCCGCGGACCACGACGGCGACGGCGAGATCGGCCCCGAGGAGGCCCACCAGGTGCGCGCGTCCCTCGCATCCGCTGCGTCCGCCACGGCCCTGCTTGATTCTGATCCCATTTCCAAACTCTGGTGGCACGGAAGGGTGACATTCCAATAAGGCTGATGCGATGAGGAATCTTTAGGGTTACATTCGACATAGCTTGATGTTCATGAAAAGCTAACCCGGCTGTTTCCTCCCCGTTTTCTGGCGATAAATGATGAATGGTGGATGATGGTTGATGGATGCTGGATGATGAATGATGGGTGGTGGATGGGGGATGGCAGCTATGGGCGAGGGTGCTGGAGGAGGAGAAGAGATTCGAGGAGCAGGAAGCGGAGGCGTCTGGCGGGGAGCGCGAGCGCGAGGCGGGTGAGAGCGAGACCGGCGGCGGCGAGTCGAGCATGGCGGATCTCATGTCGGACCACCGGCTGGACATGTCGTTCAGCTATGGCGGCAGCAGCATCTCCACCGCCGAGATGAGCGTACGTTCAGCCATTGCATCTAGATTCGTGTTACGACGCTCGAAGCGTAATCGAATGACGAGCTGTCTTGTGTCTGACCCGGCTGTTTGATAGTATGACTTGTTTGTTTGGTTAGTAGCGCCGGAGTCACCTTGGCTCCTTGTGTTCCCTGCGTGCAGGATCATCTGAGCCACATGCTTGTTTTGTTGGTGGCACCGGAGTCACGTTCGCTCCTTGTATTCCTTGTAATCCCTCATTCCGCGTGCAGGATCATCTGAGCCACATGCTGACAGGGGAGAAGGTGGTCGCATGGATCATCCACGGCCTACGTCTCCCCCAGTACGCGGAAGTCTTCAGGGCCAACTCAATCGACGGCCTGGATTTCCCCACGCTTATTTCCGACAACGGAACGTTTCTTAAAGAGGACCTGGGGGTGAAAAGCGCGCTGCATCGGCATAAAATCCACACGGCGATTTTCCGCCAGGTGTTTGGCTTAGGAAAGGCGCCCGGCGCTCCCACCAACTTAGAGTGCGAGTCGGCTGGGTGTGGCGCCATTGCTGTTCAGTGGGACCCGCCAGCCAATCCCGGTGTGCCACCTGTCCACAAGTACCTTATCCAGAGACGCGTGGCAACGCGCGTGGCGTCGTGGAAGGACGTGGGGGACACGTCAGAAGACGCGTGGCTAGATTCGGCGGGGTTAAAGCCGGGGACTGAGTACACGTATCGGATTCAGGCGTGGGGCGGGCATGGGCCTTCGGAGTGGGTGGTGCTTGATCACTGTAGAGCGTTAGCTACTAGCGCGGATGGCGTTGCCTGCGCTATGGGCGTGCATCCCCATCAGCAGCATCACCACCACCAGCATCAGCATCAGCATCAGCAGCACTCTTTGAAGCCTCCAGCAATGGAGCCTCTAGGCAGACCCATAGCAGAAGGAGCAGAGGGTCACAGCCACCCGCATGTATCAGATATAGTAGCCGTTTCCGGAACGGAGAAGGAGCAGGGATCGGTTGGGTCGTGGCAGAAACGGTTGGAGTCGGTTGGGGGCACAGAGTACGTTCTTAGCGCTTCAATCGCGCCAGGACCAGGAGTAGCAGCAGTGGAGGCAGTAGGTGGAGCGGTAGGAGAGGCAGGCGGGCAGCAGGGCAGCAGGCACGGAGCGGCGCAGTCTGCAGAGAAAAGCGCGAAGGAGACAGAGCAGGAGGGGGAGAGGCAGGGGGGAGCAGATTCCTCTCCCCCCCTCTGGAGTTTCATTTGGTCTGTCAACGGCGGGATTCTCGTGCTCGGGATTTTCTCCCGCCATAGCTTCTTCTTCCGCTTCGTCCTCGCTGCTGCCGCCTCCGCGCACCGCCTCCTCCGCCCGCTCGCCTCCGCGCTCTCCCCCTCCCCCGCCAGCCCCTTCCTCCTCTCCCGCGCCGCCGCGCGCGCCCTTCTGGGGCTCCGCGCGGCGGCTGCACGCGCCTCTGCGCTGCTGCACCGCGTTATCGCTGTGCTGGTATCGCCTGAGGACGATGAGGGCGGGGAGGATAACGAGCTGAGTCCGTTTCCCAGTGGTAGCAGAACGGTGAGGAGGTGGTCTGACGGGATGGGGGATCAGGCGGACGGGGGACTAGGAGCGGGTGAGGGAAATGCATTGGGGGAAGCGGGGGAGGCAGGGGGGCGGGGGGTTAGAGGGGGGTGGGGAGGCGGTGGGGGAGAGATTATGGTTGTAGGGGGAGGGATGGGCGGAGGGCAGGGATTGAGGCATATGGCTCGGAACAGGTCGTACGATGAGGTTTCCGGGCGGCAGGAAGGGGCGGCGTCGTTTGGCAGTAGCGAAGGGAATATGCCGCGAAATGGGCTGCTGGCTAGGGGCGGGCACGAGGGGGGAAGGGAGGCAGGCGGAAGGGCTTATCGCGGGGGTGAGTGGGAGGGGGAGGAAGGGGAGGGAAGCGGGTGGGGGGAGAGCGGGCGGGTTCAGGAGGCGGCATCAGATGAGGACACAGAATCAATGAAATCTGTTAGTTTCAAGTACAGGTGTAACGCGGAAGGCTGCCGCGTGCGCTTTGATCGCTGGTACACGCTAGATGGGCTGAGGCACAGCATTCTGAAACACTACTGCCGCGAGTGCCAGGGCGTGTACTGCGTGCGCCACACGCGCATCTCCCCCCACTCCTCCCGCACCCAGTGCGGGCTCGACAGCCACTGCCTCTGCTTCTCCTGCTACGCTCGCCTCCCTGCCGAGCTGCAGCTTCGGGCCGAACGTATCAACAAGCTTCGGGTGGGGCCGGCGGCTGGGAGTGGGAGCAGCAGCAGCGCCAGCTTAGGGAGTAGCTTCGGCGGCAGCGGAGGGGGCGGAGGGGGGCGCAACGGTGGGGGGAAGAACGGGGAAGGAGTTTCAAACAGCAGCGGCAATAGCAACAGTTTTAGCAGTTCAGGTTATGGGAGCAGTGGTAGTACTCGTGCTGGTGGCAATGGGGATGGAGGGAAAGGAGTGGCAGGGAAGATCTCTCCCTCTAGCAGCTGGATGACCCTGCTGGGGCGCCGCAATAACGACAAAAGCAGTGGGGTGGAGAAGAGCAGCAGGGACAGGCATGTGGGTGGCTCGTTGCCAGAGAGTGCAAGCACGTCAGGCTCAGATGAGTCTCACTGCGCAGGTGCAGGTGGAGGAGTGGCAGGAGCAGGAGGAACAGGAGGAGCAGGAGAAGCAGTAGGAGCAGGAGGGGCAGGAGGAGCGGTAGGAGCGGGTGTGTCTGGTGTAGGCTCAGCATCAGCAGCAGAAGCAGCAGGGGAGGAGCAGGATACTGGCATGGTGGAGTTGCCATTGTTAGGAGGTGAGGCAGCAGATTCTCTCACTCCCCCCGACCTCTTACCCAGACAATGAGCCTTAAAGAGCGGAGAGGGGTGGGGGGAAGCGCAGGGGGAGGGATTGTTATGAAAAAAACTCTCTCATTGGCTGCTGGGGTGGGGGTCAACGGGGCTGGTGCTTGCAGGACCATGCGGGGAGATGGGCGTAGGATGGATAGTGTGCAGCAGCAGCAGCAGCAGCAGCAGCAAGAGCAGCAGCAGCAGCAGCAGCAACGACAGGAGGAGCAACAACAGGAGCAACAGCAAAAGCAGAAGCGACAGCAGACCGCAGCACTGTTCTTTGTGGGCTCTACAGCAGACCTCCTGCCCGCTGCCACTCCCACCTCTCTAGACCCCTCCAATGGCAGCAGCAAGGCCACAAGCGAAGCAGACATCGGGGCTCCTAGCAAGGGACCAGGAACAGAACCTCCCAGTGTAGCTGATGCGGCTGTGACTAGCCCGCAGCAGGGCCAGGGAGTTGGATCTGGGAGCGGCGTGCTACTGAGCACCCATGGTGAAGCAGTGGCATGCGTGACTGGAATGACTCCCCTGCCCAGGTCTGCTGTGTCAGACCCCACAGGCGCTTGCTTGACTTCTGCTGCTCTTCCTGCTTGTAGCTTGGAGGCAACACCCGCTTGCAGCGAGTTGGCAACAGTTGCAGGAGAATCGGCAGGAAAGGCTGAAGGAGCAGGGGGTGCGAAGTTTGTCAAGTCAGAAGCAGCTTGTTCACAGGGGGAGGGAGCAGGGAAGCGAGGAGAGGCTAATGGAAGCAGTGGGATCGACTGGGGGCGACTAGAGCGCTGCCCCAGCCATCTCTCCCGCTCCCGATCCTCCCGCTCCGCCGACGAAGCCAAGCGGTCCCCGTCTCCCTTCTCCAAGGCGCTCTCTCCTTATAACGAGTTGCCTTCTGAAGGGGCGCAGATGGGGAGCCGGGGACGGGGAGGTGGGACTGGCGGAGGGAGTAACTGGTTCTGGTGGTACAGGCATGGGAGGCATAGGCATGGGCACGGTCATAGGGAGGAGATGAAAGGGTCTATGTCTCCAGCACTTGCCTTCTCAGGGATGTTCACTAGTAAACGGAAGTTTAAGGAAGGTGGGGGTAAGAGCACATTGGGTTCGGACAAAGGGAGGGGGGAAGGAGAGAGAGGGGGGCAGGAAGAAGAGGGTGAGGTGGGAAGTGGTGGGTCAAGAGGAGAGGGGATAGAGAGAAGGCATACAGTGGAGGGTGGGGAGGTTATGGGGTGGAGAGTGGTGGAAAGCGATTCAAGAAGAGGCAGGTACTTTGCTTCTTCGCCTGCACAGTTGTTGCAGCAGGGTAAACCACCCTCACCGCCATCACCCACACTTCAGTATGCTGCTTACAGCGGCTCTGAGAGTGAAAGAAGTTGGAAGAACCAGGGAAGCAGGTCAGATGGGAAACTGGGAAAGGCTGGTTCGAGACAGTGTATACCTGAGCAAGAGGAGCTGCAGGATGAGTTGCTTGGTAGAAGGGTGCAAGGGGAGGAGCAAAGCGGCAAACATTCTAAAGGTAGGTTTGCTCTTCCAAAGAAGAAGAATATTCTTCACAGGCCCTGGCAAGACAGAAAACAAGCAGACATAAGTTAGTTGCTTGAAACAATCTCCTCCTTTATGATTGAGGTGGAATGTATTGCTGAAAGCTTTCATAGTCTAAGAATAAAATTCGCCATGTATCTTAGTGTCTATCAGCTGGTTATAGGTTGGATGAACAAGTACCAATTTCCAGTGGGTACGTACAAAGTTCTGTAATGATTTGTCAAAAAAATACTCACACATGGTAGGTGCAGTGGTGAACGCCTTACTGTGAAGCTTCTCGCCCACGTCCCCACAGATCGCTCCGTCCTCCGCCATTGGTCACATTCGTGCGCCTCCCTCCGCCAATCACCTCCCGAGCCCCGAACATCCCCCGCAGTGCTGTGCAGCGGGCGCCAATCACCGCCTCGTATCTGCGGAATCGCAGCTTCCGCCCAATTCCCCCTTTCCGTGCCATCAGGCATGGGGCAGTGCAACGGGAGTCGGTGCGTGTGTTTTACTGTCAGTCCTTCACTCGCCCTAATCTCCCTTATGGCTGGCTGCCTGCCTGGGTGATCCTTTCACAGTTTCAGTTTATGCCTAGATAAGCGTGACTGTAGCTGTCGGCCATACCACTCACGTGTTCTTCGAGTCCAAGCAGCAGCAGGCGAAGTGTGGTGTAGCGCGCGGGGCGAGTCGGTAACATGCTTCGACCTAAGTTTTTCTTTACGGTTTATAAGAGCGTTCGCGCCGTGATAGCAGCCAGCGGGTCGCAAGCTCCTAGGCCGCCGTTAAGCGACTCGCAATCCTCGCAATTCCTATCCATTTCGTCGCACGCACCATCGTTAGAATCGCCCTCACTCTCGAATTCGTCGCAACCACTGTCGCAACAACAATCTTCGCCACAACCACCGCCGCAACCGCAATCCTCAAGTGCTCCCGTCGTTCGATCCGGTGTGAGCGAGCCTGCTGCCGAGACGCCTCAAGACGCTAGCGGGTCGTACTCGCTATACAGTGCTCCGAATGCGGGGCATTCCGTCCCTGGGAACGCCGAGAAGGAATGCACAGCGGCCCTGGGAGCTCCGGTTACAGGGTTACCTCATAATGAGGTTGCGAATAAAGCATCGCAAAATCAACAGATTGTGAAAACCTCGCGCGAGCAGCAACCGCAGCAGACGCTGCAGGTGCAACGAGTGCATCAGACGCAGCAAGAGCAGCAGCGTAGCTTGCTCTTAGCACGGCAGGGATCGCCATTCCAAGCAGCCATGGCGGTCGAAACCGCGGCCAGCGGAAATGCTCCACCAGCAGCGCTAGTAGCCCCATCAGTGACCGCTAGTGGCGGCAGTATCACACCCCATCAGACCTCGCACCATCCCTCCTCTCACCATGCCTCCTCAACCTCCTACGCCTTCCTCCCGTCCTTTCGGTCCCTCGCCTCCTCTTTTAAGAAGCTCTTTAAGCGTCGTTCGCCGTCCGAGCCTGTGCTGCAGCCTCGGCAGGATGACGCGGCCGATTTGGTTGCCGAGGCTACTCAACAGGATCGGCAGCAAGCTGTAACCGAACTGGCTGCCGAGCCAAGCTCGCAAGGAGGAATCTTTGGCAGAATCAGCAGCACTGCGGGCATTTTTTTCAGTCAGCCTCCCAAATCGCCGTATCTCTCGTCCAGCCTGGCAGATGCGACAGGCACTGCCGGCCGGAGGCCGCATGTGATGGTTGCAGAAGGGGGGTTGGCGGAACGTGCGGGAATGCAGCAAATGGCGGAGAGAGTAGCGGAGAGGATAGAGGGGAGGGTGATGAGCAGGGTTGTGGCAAGAGTGGAGGAGAGCGCAGAGCTTGAGTTTCGCATGGAGGATGTGGCACTGGACAGTGGCACGCGGGCATTGAGACATGGGCAGGTGGAGGGAAGCAGCGGGGTGGAGAGAAGAATGGAGGCGGCAAAGAAAGGGCGAGGGCTGTCAAGGGCCAGTCGCAGCCACAGCAGCGCGTTAGCTGTGCGTTCTGGTGGTGCTAGTGGTGGTGGTGGTGTTGTTGGTGGTGGTGCTGGTGCTGGTGCTGGTGCTGGTGTGAGCAATGCGGTTTATCGCACTCGCACGCTCAACATATATGCAGCCCCACCGAGGCCTGCTTCAGGTGCTGCTTCAGGTGTTTTTTCAGTTACTGCCTCGGGTTCGGATTCAGGTGTTTCTTCAGGTGCTCCTGGAGCAGCAGTTGCACCACGATCTCCGCTCCAGCATGGGTACAGGGGGGGATATGCACAACACAGGCAGCAGGCGCAACGGGGAATGGCGCAGCAGGGCATGGCGCAGCAGGGCATGGCGCAGCAGGGCATGACGCAGCAGGGCATGTCGCAGCAGGGCATGGCGCAGGGGTTGGCACAGCAGGGCATGGCGCAGGCTCAGGGGCCTGGGGGCGTGGGACATGAGAGGCGGCCAGAGGGACACATTCCAAAGGGTGCTGTGTCAGCGCCACGTGTACCAGCGCCACGTGTTCCAGCGCCACGTGTACCACCACATGTCCCATCTCCACGTGTACCAGCGTCGTTAATAGCACCAGCACCGTTTGCAGCAGCAGCAGCAGCTCCTGCTGCTCAGGGCACGGCTGTTTCTGCTGTTGCCCCAATCCCACTCCATACTCCTGCTACTGTCCGTGCAGCTGCCTCTGCTTCTGGCCCTGCTGCAGCTGCGGCAGCAAGAGCAGGGGGGGCGAAGGGGAAGAGGGAAGCGAGCAGGGAGAAGGACAGGAACATGGTGGCGTTTCTTCTCAGCATGCTCACATCGCTCCAACCTTCCCCTCCTCCTGCAACCCCCCTGCCTCCATCCGCTCCCCCCGTGCCCACTTCTCCTGCCTTCGCCCATCCTCAACCAACAAGTAACCCTGCTCCCCCCTCCTCGCTCCCTCCTCATTCTCATCCTGTCGTCTCCCACACTCACCTGGGGGCACAGGGCGGGCGATTGAGCATGGAGGAAATGTTAGCGCGGCTGCAGCAGCAGTGGCAGGCGCACCGAGCAGGCAGCACCGCGAGCAGCAAAAACGGCAAGAAAAAGAGCAAAAAGAGGGCCGGAGCAGCAGCAGCGGGGGGAGAGACTAGCAGAAACGGACAAGAGCAGCCAGTGGGCATGCATACAGGGAGCAATCCAGGCAGGAGCCTGGGGAACGTGCGGGCGTTTCACGTGTCTGAGGCGCTGAAACACCTCTGGGACGCTGATGCAGGTCTGGCGTTGTTCCGGTGGGCCAAGGACGTGCAGGGAGTGAAGCCGGACGTTTACGTGTACTCAACGCTCTTTGGGCTGCTGGGGAGGGGGAGGGACGCGGCGAATCTGGCGAGGGTGGTGCAGGAGATGAGGGAAGACGGGTGTGAGCACAACGCGGTCACGCTGCAGTCGCTGGCGACGGCATATGGCCGCGCTGGGAGGTGGGAAGAGGCGCTGGCGACGCTGGGAGCGATGCAGGGTGGTGGAGAGCGGCAGAGCATTCCGCATGACCTGACTCTGATTGGGTGAGTGTTTGGCTTGACGTGTCCGACTCATATGCATGCACAGAGCAAATACTCACCCTATTGCTCCTTCCCGCATTTTATGGGTGCATTCGTGTTTCATGATATATACACTTCTCCCCCTCCCTCTTGTCTCACATCCCCACTTGTCTCAACCCCCCCTCTTGTGTCCCCTCTCCCCTCAGCCCTGGAGTGGACGCGCTCTTCCGCACGGGCCGCTACAGCGATGCCATCACAGATCCACCGATCCGCATGCTAACATGGCTCAGAACTCATCGATAATATAATCCACCCCATACTTCCCCCCTTGTCTCACGTCTCCCCGCAGCCCTCGAGTGGACGCTCTATTCCGCACGGGCCGCTACAGCGACGCCATCAAAGCATTCACCGATCTGCGCAACGCCGGGCACGTGCCCGACTCGTTGGTCTGCAACACTGTGCTCACCTGCTACAGCCGCGTGTCTCACCCCCGACTTTTCTCCCCCCTCCCTCGTGTCTCCCCTCTCTCCTCAGCCCCCGAGTGGATGCTCTCTTCCGAATGGGCCGCTACAGCGATGCGATCAGAGCATTCGCCGAGCTGCGCAACGCCGAGCACGTGCCCGACTAGTTGGTCTGGAACACTGTGCTCACCTGCTAGGGCCGCGTGTCTCACCCTCGACTTTTCTCCCCTCCCCTCGTGTCTCCCCTCTCCCCTCAGCCCCCGAGTGGATGCTCTCTTCCGCATGGGCCGCTACAGCGATGCGATCAGAGCATTCGCCGAGCTGCGCAGCGCCGGGCACGTGCCCGACTCGTTTGTGTACAACACAGTGCTCACCTGCTACGGCCGCGTGGGGAATTCCACGGGTGCAGAGGAGGCGTTTAAGGATATGATTCGCCATGGTGTGGCGCTGGATGTGCGGTGCGCCAATAGCCTCATGGATGCGTATGGCCGCGCGGGGCAGGTCGATGATGCCATGGCTGTGTTTGACCGCATGTGCCTCGCTGCTGTTGCTGCTGGTGGGGCGAGTCACGTGAGCGGACGTGGAGGAGGGAGAGGAAAAGGGAGAGGAAAAGGGAGTCGAGGTGGGGAAGAGGGACATGCGAGGGATTGGGGAGGGAGCCGCAACAATGCTCATCTGCCCGGTGCTTCTGCTGTAGCAGGGATACCCCCGCTGAATCCGCATGTTGCTGCTGACAATGCATCCACGTTACATGGGTCGGCAGCACGAGCTGTATGCACCAGCGCAGCTGCAGAAGCAGTAACTGTTGCACCAACACCACTCTCCACCACTACCACCACCAGCACCATCACCAGCATTCCCATTTCCCGCGCATTTGCATGGCCGGCACCGGATCAGATCACGTACAGCTGTGCCATCCACCTTCTCAGCATGGCTGGGCGGCTGACTGAAGCGGAAGAAACTTTCGAGGCGATGCTGGTGGCGGGCATGCATCCCGACACCATCACATGGTCCACCATGGTGCAGGTGTGGGCGAAAGAGGCGAATCCCGAGCGCGCCGCGATGTGGTTCAGGCGCATGGTGGCGGCGGGGTGCCGGCCGGAAACCCCGGCGTACAACTCGCTCATTTGGGCGTTTGTGAGGCGCGGCATGTTTGACGAGGCTGGGGAGGTGCTCACTGCTCTCAAACATGGGTGGGACCTGGTGGGGCAAGCAGAGACGCTGCAGGGCCGAGGGGAGAACCTGGTGGGCCGAGGGGAGGAGCAAGAGGTGAAGCAAGGGGGATGAGGCAAGTCAGTTTTCGGCTGGCTCAACGCAAGTGGAGAAGTAGAATCAGATTTCCTTCCAGGCAGAATAGGCCTGGGAAATGCTGGCACTAGCGCCAGTGCCGTTGCGGGTGCCGGCTCACGAAGTAAAGCGGGGAACGCAAAGCTTGATTTGACTCCGAACCTTATGACCTACACCATGTTCCTGAGCGAGTGCACGGAATCTGCCGCCCGCAGTGACGTGGCGCGGCTGCTGCGGCTGATGGAAGAGACGGAGCATGCCGCCCACGCGGTGTTCCAGCTGCTTATGGAGGAGCCTTTTGAGTCGACTCACGTTTTACTGGCGGCAGGCGCTGAGAGTGACAGTGAGAGTGCTCCTTTGAGTGGTGCTGTGTGTGGAGCTGGGAGTGCTGCTGGGTATGAAGCTGGTGATGGGGAATCGAGGTGTGAGGGAGAGAGTGAGGGAGGAAGGTGCGAGGAAGTAGGGTGGGGCGCGGTTCGTGGAATGATAGAGAGGGGACTGGTGGAGGTGGAGGTGAGGGGGGTGGTGGGGGAGTGGGAGGAGGAGAGGTGGCAGGAGGTAGAGAGGAGGATGAGAGGGAGTGCATTCAGGCAGTCAAGTGCCGAGTCCCAACGTGCCTTTGCTGACGCCTGCATTGCCTTCTTGCATAAATTTGGGCGGCACGAGCGGGCAGCCCGCATGTGGGACCTCTGCCACACGCGGCTAAGGCTGTACCCTTGCAGCATACAGCTGCCCGCAATATCCGGGCAGGGCGGAGAGTGTTTTGTAGATCTGCACGGCATGTCAGCAGGGACAGCGGTGACAGTGACCAAGTGGGCGTTGGAGAAGATGCGGCAGGCTGTGGTGGCCTCTGCTGCTGCAGGTGCTGTTTCAGGTGCTGCTTCAGCTGCTTCACCTTCCTCTGCTGCATCAGCCGTTGCCAATGCATCAACTGTAGCCAATCCAACAGCAAGCCCAGACACTGCTGTAGGAGCAACACAAATAGCAGAATCACCCACAGAATCATCATCAGCGTCAGAATCAGGAGCAGCCGAAGCATCGCCTCTGGCCGAATCACCGCCAGCACCGGCCTTGCAGTGGCAGCAGCCGTCCAAGGTAGCAGTGGTGACAGGGTGGGGCAAGCGCAGCCGGGTGCAGGGGGCGTCGCTGGTGAAGGCAGCGGTGGAGGCGCTGCTGCTGAGGGACCTCACAGCGCCCTTCTCCCTCCACCGCTTCCACCCCGGCTCCTACGAGGCCCCCGGTGCTGATCTTGAGGCCTGGCTGCTCACGCCAGGTGTCGAGCAGCTACTGGCTCCCCGAGACGAGGGCTGAGAGGGCTCAAGAAGAGTTAATTAATCTGCAACCTCGCCCTCATTGATCCCCCGTCAATCACTGTATTGCGGTAAAGAATCGGCGTGTCCCGGTGCCGGAGTCCCAGATCAGATGCTCGAGTGCACTTTGTGAGAGCAAGCACTATCTCGGAAGCTGTGATGGTGGAACTTCGCTAAGGGCAAAAGGGAAAAGCCTTGATGCCGAGAGTGTTCGTCGAAGCCCTATCTGTGTTTTGTCAATGTCAATCTTGCTCAACTTGTGGTTGTAACAGTTATATGTAATCGCGCTTGTTCTCTTGCTAACAGCCGTTTTCGCCAAGCCAATCGTTTTCACACTTGTGTCATACTGTAAGGAATTACAATTCCTTACTGTACTCGCACTTTAGCGAGTACATCCCGAAGGACACGCGACAAACCTGTTCGGCCTAATTCGTCGCACCGAACCACTCCCGAGTCGGCTCCGCACCAATCGCAACCATCACCGAGCCATCTTCGCCCTACCTCTTCGCCTAGCTAGGATTTCCCCTATTTAGGCCTCGCTACTTCATTGTTTCGTCATTATGTAATTTTCCTTCTCGTTATTCGATATCTGCGCACTCTGACAAGTTCATTCATAACACCTGGTATCAGAGCTACTTTCCTAGCCTTACCCGCTTTTTAGAGTGTATTACCCCTGGGGGGGGGGACGAGGAAGGATGCCTTGGGGTCCAGGAGTTGCGTAGGCCGGCCAAGAGAACGGGTTAGTTGCTCTTCGCGGCCATGGATTTTTAGTGCACTCCTCGGCACCGCCAGATCCTTGCCTTCGACGGTCACGATCGAATGTGGCCTCCCTCCCCCCGGGCAACGGACAGCTGGAGCTGTCGCGACATCGAACGTGAGTTACTATTTCCGCTGCGTTATTTACCGACGATTTCGGATTTTGTGAGGCAGCTGGCGTCAGCGGACCTGCGTCGGCACCTGCACGAAAATCGCGGAGTCGTTATCATGTGTGGCAGTTGACGTCGATGGACCTGGGTTAACAGCTGCGCGACAATCACGGAGTGTGGCTCGGCAACAGTTGACAGCGGACATGCGTCACTGTGGCGAGATTTTCGTAGCAACTGTGGAGAAAAAGTCGGCTGGGGAACTCGCCAGGCGCAAATGGTGTTTTGCGTCCGAAAAAGTCGGTGGCGAGGAGAGACGACACGCGATGTGCCCGATTTATGCGGGAGTCAACTGCCGTCCCGCCCGACCTGAAAGTGCAGCGGCTTTTACTGCATGGCGGGCGCGTCATCGGAGATTTCGGCAGGAGTGCACGTGGACAGACGGGAACTTCAGACCCGCCGACACTTACGGGTTGCTACAAAAAACGGAGTGGCTAAATCGCACTCAAGAGGAGTGGGACGCAGGCGGCGAGGGCAAATCGGGCCCATACACCCCGAAGAAAACTCGCATGACGCTGCGTGCCTGGTACTGTTGACTGCTGGCCGGCAATTTTGAGAGTGGATTCCTTGTAAGGAAGTCATTTTCGGGGACAGCCTCAACAGCCCACGACTAAACGGCGCTCAACGTACCGCCCCGACATTTACGGAGGAGTTGGTACAGGCCGCCGGGACACACGGACAGAAACTACCCGACGGCTAAGCGGGGGTTGAAGAACGGCGTGAAGGGCAGGTTAAAAGCCGGTGTGAACGATCTGTGACCTTCCGTCGCCCGAACCTCACCATCCCCACCAAGTTTTAGTTCTGACTCATGCAGTCAACTTACTTGGCCGAATAACGGGGGTGAACACGTGGCCTACCCTGCGCTGGTTAAAAGCACCTGGTTTGGTGCCCGTTCGACAGCTGTACGGGAAAAAAACAAAAAAAAGGAGAGTGGCGGCACTGTTCTACTCCGACAAAAGCGGGCTGGGTGAAACAGCACGCGAAAAAATCGGGGCGCCGCATGACAACGATGGTGCAGTTCGCTGGTTTCTCCTGACCCGGGCGTCTACACGAGGTGACGGCGCAGCGGCGAAGCAGGGACCGGGAGCTGTGGAGTTTAGTGGCGTGACGGGCGCGGTGGGCTGCAAAACGGTTGGGCGACATTTCCTTTTAAATAAGGGTCCCCGACTCCGATAGTTTTTGCCCCCTCCACCGTGGCCGGGTTCGCGCAGGGCAACACCGACAATACTCCATCCGACAAAAGCGGATGCTGGGTGAACGGCGGGATGCGGAATTGTCGGGAGTTGAAACGACCAAAAACTTGTGAAGCTGCGGGTATTCCTTCACTTCTTGGAGTGCGGTTGAGTCGTTGGGGGACTTCGCCTGAAGGGCACTTTTCGAAGTTGCCTGGCAAGAAACAGAGCGGCAAGGATGCCTAGGACCCCCGGTGTTTAAACGCATACCTCGGGAAATTCTTCAGCGAAAAGGGAGCGGAGGAGCAGTCGTAGCTTCGGGAACTTATAGGCCGGCGTCAAGCGATGGGTGAAACATCTGCAAAGCGCTGGTGGGAGAAACAGGGATTTTTGTTAAGCGACAACGGCGGGAGCAGTTTCGACGACGGGGTCAACGGCGTTGATGCCACTAGGTTCCGTGAAATTCGGTCTCGGAAGACCCAGGGCAGTCCCCGGTTCTCGATTGAACCCACATGCTGGGGTCGGGTATCGACGGAAACTGATGGTGACCGAGTGGGCGGCTATAGTACGTCCGAGATTTTCGGAGGCGAACTGCACCTGCAACTGCGGATTTTACGGGGCTGTGTTTGAACGACATTCTCGGAGTTTTACGTGGGGACTTACCGGTTTGCGGCGGGAAGCGCCGACAATTTCGTGGGATTTCTACGGCGTTTGGTTAAACGCGCGCGACAACGACGTGGGGCAACACCGCGGGAACTACACGGAGTTTTCAAGGGGTACGAAGGACTTACGACGAACTGAAGAAGGGGGGAGAGACAGCTGCAAAATTTTCATCTCTTCCCAGGCGCCCTCGGCGCATTGCGACAAATTTCTCGGCGAGTCTGGACAAACCCGCCGGAGGTGGTGACGTCATCCGACACGGGGGTGCACTCGGCAAAACTCGGCCGAAGTGTTCTCGACACAGTTACTAATTCAACGACCATCGCCAGCTCTCGTTTTTGACTTCGCCATCAATCGCCTTCATCGCCGTCATTTTCGTACCAACCCCGATTTCACAGCCAGAGGATTTCGGGATACAGCCGTCCCAGCTCTACAACCGACAACCGCCCCAACTCGACCCGCCCACGACGACCAATTTGATTCTGCCTACGTCAGGTGCTGCCAGCTGCAACTGCCGAAGATCCTGCATGATTCTGGCGATGTGAAGACAAAAAGCTTCAGTTCGAGTACTCAGCAATTTTGGTTTCGGTTTCTGGTCTAATGTTGCTGGTTCACCCTTGAAGATTTTGGGGCACGACATACCTGGTTTCGTCATCGATTTTCCACACCGACGCAATTTCACCTGGGCTTCTTCGCTCATCATTCGTTTTCTGTCGGATTTAACACCTGGTTTTTGTTGTTTTCATCTCGGCGCGGCTGCGACACTTTTCTGTGGTACATTTCTTGGAGGGGGGGAGAAAGTGCGCTGCACTGTTCTTTCCTTGGCGTTTTCTCGTCTTTCTTCTTGACCTTTGTCAGGTCGCGTCAGCACGACGGACGATCGCGATTACACCGACAAGATCAACTGCTCCAGATTTGTCGCGATTGAATTTCGCGTCAGTCTGTTCCCTCCAAAATCGCATCTGCTTCGACCGTCAGATCTACACCTGCTCCATCAACGGCCCACATTCCAACTTTTAATTCATTTGGGCTAGTTCATCCTCGACCGTCAGATCGAAATCTGACTGCATCAACGGCCTCAATTCCTACCCCTTTTTCAAATTCACCCAAGGGATTTCAGCCGTCGGATTCAGCTGAAGAGGAGATCTACGAAATCCTTGCTAGTGTGGGGCTTGTTTCGGTACAGGGATGTCCTATTTGGAAGGTGGGAGAGTGTAAGGAATTACAATTCCTTACTGTACTCGCACTTTAGCGAGTACATCCCGAAGGACACGCGACGAACCTGTTCGGCCTAATTCGTCGCACCGAACCACTCCCGAGTCGGCTCCGCACCAATCGCAACCATCACCGAGCCATCTTCGCCCTACCTCTTCGCCTAGCTAGGATTTCCCCTATTTAGGCCTCGCTACTTCATTGTTCCGTCATTCTGTAATTCTTCATTCTCGTTATTCGATATCTGCGCACTCTGACAAGTTCATTCATAACACATACCTTCATGCTGGCGGTGAGAGTCCAGTCGATACAGCAGCGGATCAAGCAAGGTTCGCGCTGCAGGGCTGGTAGGCTGGTAGCATGCTTCGGCCTAGGTTCCTATTCACGGTTCGTAAGAGCGTTCGAGCAGTCTTAGCGGCCAGCGGGTCACGCGACCCTACACCGGCCTTGACCGACGCGTACCCGTCGCAATCCCTATCTATTCCCTCGCACCTGTCGTCGCTTGATCGGCTCTTTTCTGCGAATTCGTCGCACGGACGGCTGCCGTCGCAACCCCCGTTGCACTGCGTGTCGCAACGGCTTTCGCAAGCGGACTGCCCCGATCAACACGCTGCTGGCGATCCTCGTTTTAAGGTGTCCCAACACAATGATCGGCGGCCGTACGCGGTAGAGAGTGTTTCGAATGGCGGGCCAGCAGGTGGAAGGTCAGCACCGGGAGTGGCAGCACCGGAGGTGGCGGCAGCAGAGGCAGAGACGAGCTATGGAGGGGAGACAAGGTGGCAGAGAGAACCTTGGCCTAGGGAGGGCTTGACTGGGGAAGCAGGCAGAGCGCGGGGCGGGAGGGGGAGAGGGAGATGGGGGAGGGGAGGCAGAGGCGGCATGGGATGGCAAGCAGCGGAAAGGGCGTTGAGGGAGAACGAAGAGGATGAGATATTACCTCAGGGACGGGATGTATCAGCAACTGCTGCAGCAGGGGGGGTTGCGGGCAGAAGTGGTAGGAGAGAAGCGCAGCGGGAGAGGGAGATCAACATTGTGCCTGTCATTCTCAACCTAGCCATTCAGCCTCCCCCTCCCACTGCTTCCGCTGGCGCTCAAATGGTAAAGGTGCAAAGGAAGGGTAGAGGGGGAAGAATGGGCGTGGATGAGTTGCGGGCGCGGCTGCAGCAGCAGTGGCAGCACTGGCTGGCTCGCAGCAGCAGCAGCAGCAGCAGCAGCAGCAGCGTGCGTCGCAGACACGCGACGAGGAGAACTCAAAGCAGCAAGAGCGGAGAGGAGGAGGTGACAGGTATTAGAAATACTCACGGAGACCAGGAAACCACAGGCACATGCACCGGCAGCAGTCACCGTGGAGGGTCCTTCCAGGAGGTGAAAAAGCCACAAGGGAGGAGGCTGACGGCATACCACGTGAGCGAGGTGCTCAAAGCTCTCTGCGATGCTGACGCGGGTCTGGCGTTGTTCCGGTGGGCCAAGGACGTGCAGGGAGTGACGCCGGACGCGCATGTGTACTCGAGCCTCTTTGGGCTGCTGGGGCGATTGAAGAACGCTGCTGGACTGGAGGGGTTAGAGAAGGAGATGAGGGATGATGGGTGTGGTGACAACGTGATCACGCTGCAGGCGCTTGCTACTGCGTACTCGCGTGCGGGGAAATACGATGAGGCGCTTGCGACACTGGATGAGATAGAGCACAAGGATGAAACGCTTACGCTTAGCCCATTCTCATTCGGGTACGTCAAAGGGCTGGACGCGTACCCTTCCTTCCTTTAGACGCTACCATGTTGAGCAATCTTACGCTCACTCTCCATTGCTCTGATACTTCATTAGAGGGGAGGGGAGCCACGACTGACTGCGTATTAGGCACCTCAAAAACACATTCCTTTACTCTTTACAAGATGCCATACTCTTCCTCCCTCCCCCTTCTCTCCATGCGTAAAGAGTGAAGTTTTGAGACGTCTCAAAACTTCACTCTTTACACGTGCCTTTACTCTTTACAAGATGCCATACTCTTCCTCCCTCCCCCCCCTTTTCCTCCATGCCTTCACTGTGTGTTCCTCAATCCCGCAGGGTGCGTGTGGGTGTGCTATACCGCATGGGGCGGTACCAAGACGTGATCAACAACGTTCACATGAGTGCTACGACTGTTGAGGCGCCTCACTATTCATTTTCTCCCCTCCTGTTGCTCTCACAGGGTGCGAGTGGACGTGCTATACCGCATGGGCCGATACCGGGACGTGATCAAGACGTTCCACAAAATGCGGGAAGCCGGCTATGCCCCCGACGCGTTTGTCTACAGCACAGTGCTCACCTGCTACGGCCGCCTGGGGAACATCATTGGCGCAGAGCTGGCGTTCAGGGAGATGCTCTCCCAGGGGATGCCGCTCAGTGTGTTCTGCGCCAACAGCCTCATGGATGGGTATGGCCGGGCTGGGCGGGTCGATGATGCCATGGCTGTGTTTGACCGCATGTGCCTCGCTGCTGTTGCTGCTAGGGGTAGTGAAGGGAGGGGAGGTGATCAGGAGGGTGTGCCTGGTGCTGGTGGTGGTGGTGCTGCTGTAGCTGCTGTTTCTCCTGATGCATCTGGGAGGGCCTTCTTGAAGGCCCCAAATGGTTTGAAAGTTTCTGCTTCTATACCTGGAGCTGCAACAGCAGCAGCAGCAGGGGCGAGAGCTACTTGCACCAACGCTGCTGCCCAAGTGGTGACAGCTGCGCCAGCACCCTTTCCTACTGCTGCCTCCGCTACCACCTCCCGTCCTTCCCCTCCCTCCATCTGGCCGGGACCAGACATAACCACGTACAGCCTGGCGATCCACCTCCTCAGCACTGCAGGCCGCTTGTCAGAAGCAGAAGATACCTTTGAAGCGATGATAGTTGCGGGTATAGAGCCGGACATAGTAGCATGGTCCACCATGGTGCAGATGTGGGCCAAGGAGGCAAAACCCGAGCGGGCGGCGATGTGGTTTAAACGCATGGCAGCGGCGGGGTGCCGGCCGGAAACCCCGGCGTACAATTCGCTCATTTGGGCGTTCGTGAGCCGCGGCATGTTTGACGAAGCTGGGGAGGTGCTGGGTGCGCTCAAACACGGGTGGGACCTGGTGGGGCCAGGAGAGGGGCAGGACGGGAATCAAATCGGTATTGGTTCAGCTTATAAGATGTCCGAATGCACTGGTGGGCTAGTGGAAAGGAGTGGGAGTGAAGGGGCTGCAAAGGTGGCGGATAAAAGGTCCAATTCCACGTCTGGCCTTGCCCCGAACCTGATGACGTACACCATGCTTCTGAGCGCATGCACCGTGTCCGACGATCGCAGTGAGGTGATTCAGCTGATGCGACTGATGCAGGCCACAGAGCATCCCGCCCACTCCATCTTCCAACTGCTTATAGAGGATTCGTTCGAGCCTAGTTCCGCAGCGGTCGCTGAGTTGACTTCCGAGGCGGTGGCCCAGTTGACTCCCATAGCTGAGACTGACATGGAGAGTGAAGGTGTGGTTGTAGAGAGGGAAAGGGTTATTGTTGAAGGGAATGAGGGGGCAAGTGCGGTGGGTGGTGATAGGGAAGTGGAGAGGGACGCAGTTGCAGGAGTAAAGGAGAGGGGTCTGTTGGACTTAGTGGTGAGGGGGTTGTGGGGGAAGGAGTGTGTGGCGGATCGGTGGAGTGGGGTGGTGGGCCAGGAGGTTGGGAGCGGTTTGAAGGCTGAAGGTTCGGGGGTAGCAAGGGAAGGGGAACATAGTGACTCGAGGAGATGGGGAGAGGGAGAAAGTGAGGAGGGTGGTGAGAGAGAGGTAGGGAGGTGCGCGATTGCAGGGGTGCTGGAGAGGGGTTTGGTTGAGGTGGAGGTGAGGGAAGTGTGGAGGGAGTGTGAGGAGGAGCGGTGGAGGGAGATAGAGAGGAGGATGAGGGAAGATTCCTTTACCAAGGCGGATATGGAGTGCCAGCGTGCCTTTGCTGACTCATCCATCTCCTTCTTGCATAAATTTGGGCGGCACGATCGGGCAGCCCGCATGTGGGACCTGTGTTACACGCAGCTGCAGCTGTACCCGAACAGTGTTCGGCTGCCCGCGATTTACGGGCGGCATGGAAGATGTTCCGTGGACCTGCATGGCATGTCAGCAGGTACAGCAGTGACAGTGACCCGGTGGGCGTTGGAGAAGATGCGGCAGGCTGTGGTGGCCTCTGCTGCTTCAGGTGCTTCTTCAGGTGCTGCTTCAGGTGCTTCTGGCTCATCACTTGGAGTATCAATGGCAGCAGGAGGGGGGGGAGCCGACTTCATGTCAGGGGCAGAGGATTCAGAAGAGGATTCAAAAGAGGATTCAGAAGAGGATTCAGAGGATGATGAAGAGGGATCAGCAACAGGTAGTCTGGAGCTAGCAGGAGAATCTTTGGGTGAAGGACGGTTGCAGTGGCGGCGGCCGGGGAAGGTGGAGGTGGTGACGGGGTGGGGCAAGCGCAGCCGGGTGCAGGGGGCGTCGCTGGTGAAGGCAGCGGTGGAGGCGCTGCTGCTGAGGGACCTCACAGCGCCCTTCTCCCTCCACCGCTTCCACCCCGGCTCCTACGAGGCCTCTGGTGCTGATCTTGAGGCCTGGCTTCTCACGCCAGGTGTCGAGCAATTATTGGCTCCCCGGGACCAGGACTGATGCAGTACTGGGTCCGTTGACCAGTTAAGATAGCAACCTGTAGGAGTGCTCTAGGTGCATTGTGTTGGGCTGAAATGGCCCCTTAGGATCTTTTCAGGAGTAACTCTGGGTAGGATAGTATTGTAACAGCGGAAGCTTTAATAAAACTTGTGAATCACCTTGCGCTAGTGTGTGAGGGCAAAGTAGATTAATTATAACAGGAAAGTACAAGAATATATAGTAGTGCAAGGAATATCAAAGGATACAGTTATAACTACTTTTACTGTTGCTGTTGCGGTTCGATACAGTACGACTCGGGCAACTGCTCTGTAACGAGTCAGTTGTATGTCCTTAACTGTCGCGCTGTACTTGTCGGGTCAAAGGTTGCTGACCTTTGACTTTCGCGTAACCTCCAGCAACCTCTTTTAACCTCCGAGGGTTGACTCGCGGGTGCTTCGGTGTAGTTTGCCTCGCTTCTGGTGCGGTGTTTCGACACGACTGAAGCGCTTAAGTTTTATTATTTCCAACACATTGCAGCAGCAGCAACCTCACTGGGCGCTTTCTGGAATGAATGCACCTCTCAATTTCTGAGCACAGTTTTGTGTTCTCCAGTGCTCCAAAGCCAGCCTGCTTTTGGCTGAAGCAGACTCACATGTGGAGATGCTGAACTTGACAGGGGACTCACAATTGGCTAAAACCTGTTGGAGAGCTAAACTTGACAGGGGATTACACGAAGTAATCGTTTCTGAAACTGTACTAATATCTCACTAGTCACCAGTGTCAGAATTTTTTGAGCCAGACCTCCTGTTGCGAATTCCTGCTCCCTCCGCTAGTTCTTCGCGGCGGGAGACGAAGCGGCACCAGATGAGAGATCGAACCAAGTCGCGAACATGTTTCGACCTAGGTTCGTCTTCACGGTCCGTAAGAGCGTTCAAGCCGCCATAGAGATTAATAGGTCACGCGATCCCAAACCGTCCTTAGTCGACGCTTATTCGTCGCAACCCCTATCTATTCCTTCGCACCAGCCGTCGCCTGGTCTGCCTTCTCCTGCGAATTTGTCGCACGCACGGCTTCCATCGCTGTCGCAACGGAAATCGCAAGCAGCTTGCACCAATCACCGCGGTGCCGGCGATCCTTGTTCTGAGGCGACTCGACACACTACTCGATGGCCATACGCGGTAGACCGTGCCTCGGATCGTCGACTTTACTCCGCAGCAGCAGCGGCAGCAGCAGCACCATCGACCACACCGGCGACAACAGCAGCAACAGCAGCAGCAGGCTCACCTGCTGCTCGACGGGTGACGGCAGCAGCGGCGCCACTGGCACCCGCGCATCCATCCCTTCCTGCCGCACATGCAGCACCGTCAGCAGCAGCACCGTCAGCAGCAGCACCATCAGCAGCAGCGCCGTCAGCAGCAGCGCCGTCAAGAGCTGCAGCAGTAACGGGTGAAGAGAGGGATGCTGAGGAGAATAACTGGCAACGGCATTCTTGGCCTGAGGGGGTTCGAACTGGTGTGGCTCACAGAGCAACGGAGGGACGATGGGTAGAGAGGAGAGGAAGGGGGGGAAGAGGAGGAGGGAGTGCAGAGGAGAGAAAAGCAGCAAATGAGGACCGGGACAGGAGCATGGTGGCGTTGCTTCTCAGCATGCTCACATCCCTCCACCCTGCCCCGCCCTCAGCAGCTTCTCCCAATTCCCCCCCCTCTGCCTCCTCCTATCATGTCCCTGATCCCTCGTCTCCTCCTTCAATCCCCCCTACTGGTTCAGAGAGGGGTGGGCGAATGAGCAGAGAGGAGATGGTGGCTCAGCTGCAGCAGCAGTGGGAGAGGGAGATATTGGGCAGTGGCAGCAGCAGAAGCAGAAGCACAACCGGGAGCAAAGGCAGGTTCGGGGCAGCAGAAGAAAGCAGCAAGGAAGGGGAAGGGCGGCGGGAAAGCAGGTTACAAATTGGCTCGCAGAGCAGGGGGTTTGCCAAGCTGAGGCCGTATTTTGTGAGCGAAGTGCTCAAAACTTTGTGGGACACTGACGTTGGTCTGGCTTTTTTTCGCTGGGCAAAGGACGTGCAGGGAGTGAAGCCGGACTCCCATGTATACTCTACCCTCTTTAGACTACTGGGGCGGGGGAGGGATGCGGCAGGGCTGGCGAGGGCGGAGGAGGAGATGAGGGAGGATGGGTGTGGCGAGAATGCATACACGCTGCAGGCACTCGCTGCCGTGTACGCTCGTGCTGGCAGGTTTGAGGAGGCTCATGCGACGCTGGCTGACGTGGATCATCGGGGATTTTCAGATGGCCGCTCTATTGCTGGGTATGTCTCTGTGGGTCCCCTTACTTGCTCCTCTTGCTTCTTGTCCCTCTAAAATCTCGCGCTTCTTCCTCTGACTTTTCGCAACTCTCTCTTCTCACTCCTCTCGCGTCTCTGTCCCCCTCTCGTTCCTCCACACCACACCCCACGGCCACTCCCCTCCCGGCTCCCACCAGGGCTCAAATGGACGTGCTATTCCGCATGGGCCGGTACCGCGATGTGATCAAGACGTTTAATGAGATGCGCAGGGCGGGGGACACACCTGACGAGTTTATCTACAACGCTGCCATTTCCTGCCACGGCCGTCTCAACAACAGTGTTGCAGCTGAGGCCGTGTTCAAGGAGATGATTTCGCGGGGGATGGCACCCAATGTGCATTCTGCGAATACTCTCATGGACGTGCTTGGCACGGCCGGCAGAATTGACGATGCAATGGCAGTTTTTGACCGCATGTGCCTGGCTGCTGTTGCTGCTCGGACAAGTCAGGGAGGAGGAGGAGGAGAAAGACAGAAGGGTTGGGAAAGAAACACAAGAGAAGGGGCGAACTTGTGGCCTGCCCCGGACATGCTCACCTACAGGGCGGCAACTAACCTGCTCGGCATTGCGGGCCGGCTGTCAGAAGCAGAGGCCACGTTTGAGGCGATGCTGGTGGCGGGGATGCAGCCGGACGCCATGGCATGGGCCATCATGGTGCAGATGTGGGCCAAGGCTGGCAACCCCGAGCGCACGGCCGCATGGTTCAAGCGCATGGTGCTCGCGGGGTGCCCTCCCAACGCGTCGGCATACAACGCGTTGCTGCTCGCGTTTGTGAGCGAGGGAATGTTTGACGAAGCAGAGGAGGTGCTCTTTGCGTTCAAAAACGGGTGGGATCTGGTGGGGCAGATGGGGGTAACGCCAGGAGGTGAAAAGCACACGGATCTCGGCAAGCACAAGGCAGAGCAAATCCCAGTCCCAGGTGGCACAGGCGGAAGCATGGGTGGCGAAGGCCGTGTACGGCCAGGCCGGGCTGTGAAGCTGGTACGAGGGAAGCTCCTCAAGCTGACCGCTGGCGAGCGCCCTGACCTGATGACCTACACCATGCTGCTCAATGCTTGCATCGCCTGCACTGTCCACCATGGTGTGGCCCGGTTGATGCGGCTGATGGAAGAGACAGAGCACCCCGCCCATGCTGTGTTCCAGCTGCTCTTGGAAGGGGTTGAGGGGGCTCAGACTGTGTGTCGCGGAGTTGTGGAGGAGGTTCGGAGTGAGGGAAGCTGTGAGAGAGGGTGTGAGGGAGGGAGTGAGGACTGGAGTAGAGGGAGTGAGGGGGCTGGTAAGGGAGGGAATGTGGGAAGGAGTGAGGGAGGAAATGGAGAGGGTGGCTGTGGGAAGACGGAAAGGAATGCTGTTGCGAGAATGATGGCGAGGGGTTCAGTGGAGGAGATGATGAGGATGCGGGTTGACAGGGAGGAAGAGAGGTGGCGGGAGGTAGAGAGGAGGATGAGAGGGGCTGTGTGTATCAAGTCTGATGTTAAACACCACCAAGCCTTTTCTGCGTCATGCATTGAATTCTTGCATAAGTTTGGGCAGCACGAGCGGGCAGCCCGCATGTGGGACCTCTGCCACACGCGGCTGCAGCTGTTCCCTAACACCGTTTGGCTGCCCACAATTCATGGGCAGCATGGGAACTGTTTGTTGGACCTGCATGGCATGTCAGCAGGGACAGCAGTGACAGTGACCAAGTGGGCGCTGGAGAAGATGCGGCAGGCTTTGGTGGCCTCTGCTGCTTCAGGTGCTTCTTCAGGTGTTTTTGAGTCATCGGTGGGAATGGCAAGGGGAACAGGAGCAGGAGGAACCAATCTCGCAGTGGGGCCGGTGCATCCCGAAGAGGAATCAGAGTGTGATAAAGAGGGAGCTGCATCAGGTGATTCGGACCAAACAGAAGCATCGTTGGGCGGATCACGGCTGACATGGCAGAGGCCGTCCAAGGTAGCGGTGGTGACGGGGTGGGGCAAGCGCAGCCGGGTGCAGGGGGCGTCGCTGGTGAAGGCAGCGGTGGAGGTGCTGCTGCTGAGGGACCTCACAGCGCCCTTCTCCCTCCACCGCTTCCACCCCGGCTCCTATGAGGCCTCTGGTGCTGACCTTGAGCAGTGGCTGCTCACGCCAGGTGTCGATCAGTTATTGGCCCCACGAGACCAGGGTTGATGCGGTACTGATGGTAGTAGCATCCTAGGAAGCGTAAGGCTGCTTGGCATCTTGAATACACATGATGCCCAACCACTGCACGCGAATCTGCCCTGCACATTTTAGAAACTCTGCACCCGTGGTTTTTTCCCCGGTCAGTTGCACCCCATGTATAAGCCCGCGAAACAATTTGCAACTGGCCCAGAAGACACCAAAAGTAGGACGTGTAGCACCAGACAAGCCGAGTCAACCGGGTTCTGGCTTAAATTGTTGACCAGGTGCATGATAGGGGGAAAACGTAAACGAAATACGTTTCCCATCGCAAACAATTTCGGCTATGACACGGTGCCACGTAGGGGGGTTCATGGTGCGTCAAACAGAATTGAGCAAGATACACCTCTCCACGTGTACCTTGCTCAAGCACGGTACACGCCCCTTTAGGTCCACGCGATGCTCAACCTGCCTACGTCATAACTGGTGGTTGGGGTAACATGCCATTCGGCTATGACACGGTGCCACGTAGGGGGGTTCATGGTGCGTCAAACAGAATTGAGCAAGATACACCTCTCCACGTGTACCTTACTCAAGCACGGTACACGCCCCTTTAGGTCCACGCGATGCTCAACCTGCCTACGTCATAACTGGTGGTTGGGGTAACATGCCACGTTTCAAGATTGAATGCTTGCGATGAATATGTGCATCTCGCGCACCTCGCCCAAGGCACAAACAACCAGACACAAGACGCCTAGAGGACTTGGTGAACTCATAAAAAGGCAGCAAAAACTCACTCGACAACCAGAATCTCATTAACCGCCGAGGCTAGCCATGCCTCGCCTGTACCGTCGCGCCCAGCTCGCCGTGCATATCAAGAGGGCGATATGTGCCCACCATGTCGCAAACCCGCAGCTGCGCCACGTCGATCTTGCCCGCTGGTGTTTCACTCGCTTCGGCATTAGGCCCGACCGTTCGACGATCGGGCGCGTTTTGAAGGGCACCGATCGATGGGTCTCAACCACGACGAACAACAATATTGTACGCGTCCGAGGCGGCGCACACCCCGCGCTCGAGCAAGCTATGGCCGGCTGGATTGCCAATGCGGGCCCGGCCGGAGTTCCGCTCACACTGGCTACTATTCGCGACCATGTCGCGACCATGGCGCGCGACATGGACGTACCGCCGACTTTCAGGTGCTCGATCGGTTGGGTACGCCGTGCGTTGCGCCGCCAGGGTGTCCGCTGCATGAGCGCCGTCGGAGAGGCCGCCGACCAGGACATGGCTGCAGTGCGCACTACTCGCGAGAAGCTTCCTCAGCTGCTGATGTATCTCTCGGTCACTCCGCGGTACACTTACAACTTCGACGAAACCGCGCTGTTCATCTCAGTGTTGCCGCGAAAGACGTACGGCAACAGTCGCGTGTCAGGCCGGAAGGTTCCTAAGGACCGCCTTACCGTCAGTCTTCTCGTCAATGCCGACGGCTCGTACTCGTTTCGCCCCTTGGTCATCTCGAAGGCCAAGAGGCCGCACGATTTCCGGCCCAACTACGATCCGGACGAGATGTGCTATTGGCGCTCTTCGGCGAAAGGATGGATATCGAAAGAGGTAAGCTCATAAAAAGTTTCGAAGTTTACGGCCTTCTTGCTAAAAATCTGTTGTTTAGCCGCAAACATGCGTATGCGTTACATAGTGCTTGTAAATGTCTCAAGGTTATAATCTTTTTTGCTCTCGGTGTTTTTCATACAGGTGTTCACTCACTTCTTGGAGCAACTTAACACGGCCATGTATGCAGAGGGCCGGAACATCGTCATCCTGATGAACAACGCGAAGGCGCCGAGACGGAGGACCTCTTTGGGTTCCGCACGCGCAAGCTCAGCAACTTGCGCATTGTTTACCTGCCGCCCAACACCACTTGCTCCACCCAGCCCCTCGATCAGGGGATCATTGCTACGGCGAAGGCGAGGTATCGGGCGCACTGGCTGACTGTGTTCACTGCGCAGTGGGCGGAGAGCGGCGCCACGTCGGCGATGGCTCGGTACAAGCCGAACCTCCGTGACGTGCTCGCCTGGCTGCTCGATGCATGGATGAACATCGAGCGTCGCACCATTCAGCGCTGCTGGTGGCGCACCGAGTGCCTCCCGCGTGCATGGGAGATGCAGCTTGAGCATGTGGTCAATGGCGGCAACGGCGGCAACGGCGGCCCCACCGAGCTCGAAGAGGTAGTGGGCGACGTGGGGATCCTCATCGATCGCCTTGCCCTCGGCCCGTCGGCGATGCCTGCCGCGGACTTCGTACGCATCGACATAAATCAGCCGACTTGCACCGAGCCGGGCGAGGACCCGCTAGCTACGGAGCCGCCGTCCTTGCCGCCTGCCGAGATGTGGGATGCCCCGGCCAGCATGCAAGTCGTCTATGACGACGCCAATCCGGCTTGCCGCGAGGCACGGCGCTACACCTGCGCCGCAAGCGAGATGCTCATCGGCTACGCGAAGTCCACCGGCATCACACCACGTTACCTCTGCGCGCTGTTCGAGATCCGCAACCCCATCATCAGGGCCCGGATGGAGCGCGCAAGTCCGGCGCTCAACCTGAACAGCACCCCGCCTCCCGCCATGCCCCTGGGCGCCACCCCGCCGGCTGAGACACCTCGTCGCCGTGGGCGTGTGCTGCCGGTGTGGATGACGGCGCCGACCCCGGAGTGGGTCACTCTGGCTCGGCAGGCGGCTCGCCGCCAGGAGCTCATCGACGGAGGAGCGCCGGTTGTGATGGGCGGCTTCCTGGATGCCGCCGAGTGGATGCGGCTGTGAGGGTGTTGTGCTCTGCATCCCTTGAGTATGGCTCGTTTGAGGTGTAAATGTGCAAGTCTCGTGCACATTGTCACTAGCACGCAGGAATGACTCGGTCATTGACTGAGTACAGGTGTGGATTGTTTATTGGCGGGTTCGATGGGTGAGGGTGTTTGTGACAAGGCGGAACATGTGTTGTAATCGCGTGCAGGGATGAAATGAAAAGGCAGTGGTAACCAGGTTCCCAAACAAACAACAATGCTTGCCTACCAACACTGTGTGGGATAAAACAAACTTGTTACAACCTGTGTTTTTTATTAGCACATCGTGTCTCTGGCGAAACCCGACGAACCGAGCGAAATGCGCAAATCACTTATAAGCCCAGAGGGATGCCCAAGTATGGGGGACTCAAACGAGCGTTAGGTGTAATTTCAACAACTCCCTCGATCAATCGTCAGTGCCGTTTTTCACCACTGGAAACAATTTTACCTGCGTCTGGCAGGCTGGTTTGTCTTATTCAAATGTCTTAATAAACAATACCGAACCATCTCTAACCGCTCTCAACCATGCTGTTTCTTTCTGCAAGTTCGTATAACCGAGGTCAGTCTAGCGGGAATGAGGGTGTGTTCCTCAACCAACCTGCGAGTGCCTCGAGCATTGGCTCAGAAGGCTGGATATGGCAATCATCAGAACATTGCGCCTACCTTGCTCAATTGAGATGTGGACGAGGGGTGTTATCCGATGCAGTAGGAAATGAGTTTTCAGCAGATTTGGTAACATGCTTCGGCCTAGGTTCGTATTCACGGTTCGTAAGAGTGCTCAAGCCGTCTTAGCGGCCAGCGGGTCGAGCGCGCCTAAACCGGCCTTACACGACCGTTACCCGTCAGAACCCCTATTTATTCCCTCGCACCTGTCCTCGCTAATTGCCGTCGCCCGCGAATTCGTCGCATGCACGGCTTCCGTCGCAGCCGTCACACTTTCTGTCGCAACGGCGCGCTGCTCCCACTGATCCTCGTCGTGAGACGTCTCGACACGCGTACGCAATAGACCGTGCCATAGATGGTTCTCATTACGCAGCAACAGCAGCAGCAGCAGCACCGCCATCAGCTGCCGCTGCTCCTGCCAGCACCCACTCTAGAGGCTTCACGCGGAGGGCAGAGAGACGGAGGCCTCTGGCAGCAGCAGGCGCAGCTGCTGCTGAACCGGTGACGCCACCAGCGCTGCTGGAACCCGCTTGTCCAACTTCACCTGCAGCAGCAGCAGCATCAGAAGCAGGAGAGACGGTTCGAGCAGCGGGAGCAGCAGAGGTGTGTATTAGAGATGCAGGAGAGGTGAGCTGGCAGAGGGAGCCTTGGAATGGGATGGCGGACGGAGCAACAGGAGGAAACCGGCAGGGGAGATGGGGAGAGGATGGAAGTGGAGGAGAGAGAGCATATGGGGAGGGGGAAGCAGCAGGTGCTGCTGCAGAGAGAGCAGCAGAGAGGAGGAAGTTCGAAGCAGCTGAGAAGGAATGGAACAGGAGCATGGTGGCCTTGCTTCTCAACATGCTCAATTCCCTCCAAACTTCCCGGCCCTCTTCGGCTTCTCCTGCTGGCCTGAGAAACAGGGAAGAGGAGTCGAGAGGCGGGCATTCCAACAACAGCACGTATAGCGCACCCTTTCCGTTGGGCCACAACTCACCGGGTCAGGTGACGGCTTACCATGTGACAGAGGTGCTTCGAACGCTATGGGACGCTTACGCCGGTCTGGCCTTGTTCCGGTGGGCCAAGGACGTGCAGCAGATGAAGCCGGACACGTATGTGTATTCGAGCATCTTTGGGCTGCTGGGCCGGGCGAGGGACGTGACGAATCTGAAGGAGATTTTGGAGGAGATGAGGGAGGACGGGTGCGAGCACAACGCCTTCACTCTGCAGGCATTGGCCGCTGCTTATGCCCATTCTGGGAGATTTGAGCAGGCTCTCACCACGCTGGCTGAGATGAAACATCGAGGCTTTCCAGACAACGCTGTCACAATTGGGTGTGTGCGTGTGTGTGTGTGTGTGTGTGTGTTGGGGGGTGGGTGGGTGGGTGGGTATGTGTGTGTGTGGAGGGGGAGGGGTTGCGTGCATGCGTGTGTGCGTGCATGTGTGTGTGTGTGTGTGTGTGTGTGTGTGTGTGTGTGTGTCTATCTCTCTCTGCATATTGGCGTCATTGCAGCATGTGCTCTCCATAACATGGGCTGCTTGCAATCCATTCTGCTTGACAAAGATTCCACTACCCACACACCACTGGCCTATCTGACTATGTCCCACCACTCCTCCCCCCCCAGGGCTCGACTAAACGTGCTGTATAAGATGGGTCGGTACCGTGACGTGATCAGGACGTTCAGAGAGGTGCGGGATGCGGGCCACAAGCTGGACAGCATCAGCTACAATATTGCAATCACATGCTACGGCCGCCTTAACAACACTTACGGGGCTGAGGTGGCGTTTAAGGAGATGATTTCCCGCAGGGTGCAGCCTAACGGGCGCTCTGCCAACATCCTTATGAACATGTATGGTTCAGCTGGCAGGATTGATGATGCCATGGCGGTTTTTGACCGCATGTGCCTGGCTGCTGTTGCTGCTGGGGTAAGTCAAGGGAGAGACAGAGGAAGGGGAGGAAGTGATGGCGAGCAAAGAGGGATTAGTGGGGTTGCTGGCATACCTTGTGGCTGTATAAAAACGTCCCAAAATGGCAATATCTGTCGTCTTCTCCTGCTGCCCCTGCTGTTTTTTTTTCCTTCGTCTGATTCCCCTGCTGCTGTTGCTGCTGTAGCACAGGTGACCCCTCTCAAGCCCCAAATCGTCTCAGAAGCAGCAACTGCAACAGCACCAGCAGCAGCAAGAGGTGCACACAACAACACTGCAGCGATGGCAGCAATTCCTGAACCACCAGCACCGGTATCGCCTCCCGCCTCCACCACCATCACCACCACCACCACCCCGAGACCCTCTGAATCCATTTGGCCTGCTCCCGACCTGATCTCCTACAATCTGGCAGTGAGCCTTCTCAGCGAGGCGGGCCGAATCTCCGAGGCAGAGGCCACGTTTGACGCCATGCTGGTGGCGGGGATGCAGCCAGACGCCGTGGCATGGGCCACCATGGTGCTCATGTGGGCCAAGGCTGGCAACCCCGAGCGTGCGGCCATGTGGTTCGACCGCATGTTGCAGGCAGGGTGCCCGCCCAATGCAGCGGCGTACAGTGCGCTGCTGCTCGCGTTTGTACGGGCGGGGATGTTTGACGAAGCAGAGGATGTGCTGTCTGAGTATAAGCATGGATGGGACTTAATGGGGCACGTGCGGGTGCTAGAAGCTAATCCTTCTAGGTCAGACGAATGCAAGCCTGCCCCATTTGCAGTTCCAACAGGGCCCTGGGCCAATAGTGACAGTGATGTCCTCTGGTCAGGCCAAGCAGTAAGCCAGATGGGAGGCAAGACTCCCAATGTGCTGGTCAGTGAAGCTCCCCATTTGATGACCTACGTGATGCTGGTCAATGAGTGCATGGTGTGTACAGCTGGCAGTGCTGTGAGTCGGATGCTGCGGCTGATGGAAGCCACGGAGCATCCTGCACACGCTGTACTCCAGCTGCTCTTACAGGGCCCTGAGGCGTGTCCCGAAGTGTCCCACCTGTTTGTGGAGGAGGCCAGGAGTGAGGGAGGGAGTAAGGTTGTGTATGAGGGGGGGAGTGAGGAGAGTAGCTGTGGAAATGGGAGGGGGGATGGTGTCGCGAGGGTGATAACGGCAGGTTTATTGGAGGTGGAATTGAGGGAAGTGGAGAGCCCAGGACCACCTCTCACATTGTCACACCTGTTTGTGGAGGGTGCTGGAAGTGGTGCTGGGAGTGAGGATGGGAGTGAGGAGAGTAGCTGTGGAAAAGCTGGGAGGGATGGTGTTGCGAGGTTGATAGCGGCATGTTTGGTGAAGGTGGAGGTGAGGGACATGGTGAGGGAGAGGGAGGAGGAGCGATGGCGGGAGGTAGAGAGGAGGATGAGAGGGGATGCTATTGCCAAGACTGATGCAAAGTGCCAGCGTGCCTTTTCAGAGGCATGCATTGCCTTCTTGCATAAATTTGGCCGTCATGAGGAGGCAGCTCGCATGTGGGACCTCTGCCACACGCGACTACAGCTGTTCCCTAACATTGTTCGGCTTCCCGCGATTTACGGGCGGAAGGGGAAATGCTTGTTGGATCTGCATGGTGTGTCAGCAGGCACGGCAGTGACAGTGACCCGGTGGGCATTGGAAAAGATGCGGCAGGCTGTAGTGGCCTCAGCTGCTTCAGGTGCTTCATCAGGTGCTTTCGATTCATCGTTAGGAGTAGCAGGAGGAACTGATTTCACAGTAGAAGCAGTGGATTTAGCAGAGAATAACGAGGATGTTGAAGAGGGAGCTGCACTGTTGAATGTGGAGCCAACAGAAGCATCCTTGAGCGAATTAGGGGTGCAGTGGCGGCGGCCGGGGAAGGTGGAGGTGGTGACGGGGTGGGGCAAGCGCAGCCGGGTGCAGGGGGCGTCGCTGGTGAAGGCAGCTGTGGAGGCGCTGCTGCTGAGGGACCTCACAGCGCCCTTCTCCCTCCACCGCTTCCACCCCGGCTCTTATGAGGCCTCCGGTGCTGATCTTGAGGCCTGGCTGCTCATGCCAGGTGTTGATCAGCTATTGGCTCCCAAAAATGAGGACTGAGAGGATCTCGAAGTTGATAAGCCAGTACGAGCGCATGATCGATGAAGCTGGTGGTGGTTGCACATGTTGCTTGCATGGGTCGCGTTGCATGGGTTGCGTTGCAAGGGTTGCGTTGCATGGGTTGCGTTGCAAGGGTACCGTTGATTGATCACCCAACCACAATAGCCTGAGCAATTTGGACCTGCGGATAACTGATCCCGTTGTCAGCGGAACTTCCATTTAATTTTATCAATTTTATGCTGAGCATAGTGTCTGGTGAAACCTGTGCTTTTGAAATCCAGTCAGTCCATGGTAGAAAAAATATCGTGTCCATCTCTTGGCCAATGCAATGATGCCAATCTGGTACACACTGCAGTGCAAAGGAATGAGTTAGGACATGCCGCTGTGACTAATCATTCACTCATCAGCACAACACTAGAATTCAGAAAGATTGTAACCTCATCAGGGCGAGCTACGCCATGATGCGCTTGGAGCGCACGAAGAGGCTGTCAACAACCTGGTTCATGTGCACTATGGTGTCTATGGCTGCTGGATACAGCGCGTCCGGCACCTGTGGCTGGAATACCACCAGGTTGCCTGCTCCCTGATCCAACGTGCCTTCAAATTTGCGGTCCAGGATCATCTGAGACAGCTTCGACTCCACCTAGGAGACAGAAAGGAAGCGGTAAAGGAGAGGGGTGGAGAAAGCAGGAGAAGCAGGGACCGGGGATTGGAAAGAGAGGATGGAAGAAAGTTAAAAGAGTATGTTCACACATCACCAGCCCTCACTCTCCATCCAGCAGACGCTCTGCACTTGTGAAACCAAGTGATGGGATGACCTATTTGCATGAACCAATCCCTGATAAAGCATCACATCAAATCACACAATCAATGTTCACCACAGAGACGAGGACAACATATCAGCTGCATCAGACTCTGATTCTCTCAATGCACGTCAACATATCTGGTCCCAAATGCATACCTTTTCCAATGGCAGGCCAATAAGGGAAGAGATGTGAGCAATCTCCACACATGAATAAGGCTCAATCAGCCTCAGCAGATTTTGCTCCAGCAGGGAGTCGTACAGCGCTGCCAGGTGGCGGCTGATGATTGGGTCGTCGGAGAGCTGGTGCTTGTAAGTTCGCAAAGCCTCCTCAAAGGCTTTGAGCGACCGCTGACTGTGAGCTGTTGCGACGGTCTTCATCGCGTCCACCTCATCACCCGTGTACTTGAGAGCTGCCTTGCTGGCAATGATGCTTGCAACGTCATCAGCTTGATTCAGCATGATCTGTAAGGTGAAAAGAGGCAGCAACAAAGAGACTTTAACAACTGACAAGAGAACTGCTTTCTATGTCGCAGTACCGAACTACATCATGCTGAATAAATGCTGTTAATCATGTCAGTCAGAATTGCAGCCACGCATAGACCAGTCTAAGGTGCAGCATCATCACCTTGCAGAGCAGCATATACTTGAGGCAGGGAACGGTCTTGGGGTCATCCAATCCGTTGAAGCACTCGAAGGCCTCGAAGAAGTACGAGTATGCCGTCTTGTAGTCCTTCTCCTCTGCGTGCAGCACGCCTGACTGCATGTCAATCTGACCCTGCTGCGCTGGCGGCACGTAGATCGAGTTCGCCGCAGTTCGCGCCGCAGTTAACGCCGCCTTAGCCTTGGGAATGTTCCGAAGTTGATGGTGGAGTCGGCTCTCGAGAAGATCTATGTCGACCAATAGGAGCTTGTCGTCGAGCCGCCTTACCTCCCTGACAAGATTACTAGTTAACGCCAGCGCGGTCTGGTAGTCCTTAGTCTCCATGTACAGCGCGCCGAGTCTCGCTTCGACTCGCTGCCGAAGGAAGGTTCGCTTCTCCTTCTTGGTCCACTCGACCATTTCCTTGCACAACGCGAGCTGCACATCCGTGCTGTTAGGTATTTTAGCTACTAGATCGATCACGGTACGGACAAGCTTAGCGGTCTTCGCCTTAGGAATAAGAGCGAAATAAGGACGTAAGTCGGTCAGGAGGTCACGAAGCTCCTCCGCCTTTCCTTGCTTGGAAAGAATCTCGCCGAGGCTGCATACAGCAGTCTCCTTCGTGCGAAGAGCGTCCGCTGACGTGGCATCATCCTGGATAATCCCGCGATAGATCGCAGCAGCGGCCGAGGGATCGGTAAATGCGAGCTCAGAAGCCCGCTCGAGGGATTCAGGCGTGGCGGGATACGACGATGATGATGCAGCAGGTGGAGTCTCCGTGATCATGGCGTCTGCCATGGCGTCGATCAGTCGACCTTGCTACCACAATCCCTGACTGAACGAAACGAGAATAAGCTTCAACTTTTCGATATTGCTCTCGCAAAGATTCCTTACGGCTTTATTCCAGGAATCTACAACCCTCGATTCTCGGAGTCGGTTCAGGCAAGGATATTACGGGACTGCCTAATCTGACGAAGAATTCAGGGAAGCAAGGAATCAGTGAGAGAGATTTGCTTTTGGAAATGAGCTGCGGATGATTCCGTTTGTCAGAAGTGGGTGCACTTTCTACGAACGCTAACGAATATCGGTGCAACAAATTACGGTTTCGCTTCAGATGGTAATGCAGCGTCGCGAGACTTCGCATAAGCCAATCACGTCAGGGAGACACCAAGCATTTTGTGTGAATCCCAAGGCCACATAAGGAAAATGCTGGCCATCACAACAAGTGGATGGAGTTCTCAAGGCCAAATGACTAGCCATGGCCCCTCGGTTTCCCAAATCAACATCCCATCAACAGGTGAAAGTGTGTCGTCACCATCATTCTTCATGAAGCAGCAGCCGAATTCATTAGCGCTGGGCTTCCCGTGGTTTCGTTTCCCCGGGCAATCGTTTATGGGCCTGTATTGAAATTCCGACAATTCTGTTCACCTTAAGGAAGTTGTAGACACATCAGGATACGTCGACAAACAAGTCGTCCCAGATACTATTGTAGTTTTTTTTTCCCTGGATTTTCGGAAGGTTTTTCTAGAAGGTCTTTATAATGACGAGTTCGACGGACTTCCGTTTTTTTCTCTCGTGCGACATCAACTTACCCATACGCTTTAAAGTAGAGAGTCTTCTAGGGAACATTGACGCGAGTGCCGGCTCAGCTGGAGGTATGCAACCGATGCGACCCCACCACTTGTTACGAAGACCTTGTCTTGTATAATCATGCGCCTCTCTTCCCCCGGCTGCTCAATTTCTCCCTTAACTCGGCCTACAACGGCTTTTTCACGTCTTGAGTGCAGACGCTACCTCGTGCGCTCGCGAGCATAGCTCCTTCACTGAAGCGCATGGCGGAAGGCAGCCAAGGGCAGACGAAACATGCCTCAGTGACCCGGGCTGTCAGGAGGCGCGTGCTCTTTGCGTGGAGTGCGAGCTTTTCATTGACGGAGTGTCGTTTGGCCAACCCGTCGTCACGGGGTAATGGGCTGGTAACCAGTGTGAGAGACTAACCGGTTTCTCTGAAGCAGGCCCAGAGAAGGTTTCAGATGCAGCTGTCACTTCCAGAGTGTGGCTGCCTCTTTCTGATAAAACACTCTCCATGTGCGCATATAATCCAAATGGATTTTACTGTTCTTGGGCTAGGTTTGACGCTGCTGCTCGGACTGGCAGGAATGCAACATGGAGTGAAGCTGATGGTGGGAAATGGCGATGGGACGAATGGGTTCTATTGACAGCCAAGTACTGTGACATTTCTGCGTATTCCTTCATTGCTTTCACTGTAAGATTCTTCTTCCAACGCTACCTTTCATTGCTTCTGACATTTCTTTCGTCAAAGTACTTCTGAGGTACTTGCTTCTTCTCCTTGGCTCTACTTTATCTTCACTTTAAACCCTCCGAATTCCTCTTGTCTGACCTTTTTACAGATTTGGGACTTGAAGTGTCAAAACAGGCCACGTGTGGTTGGCGGCACCACACTCCCTCTCTTCTCCCACACCATGTCAGCCCAACCTCCCCCTTCACCCCCCTCCACCTCACCAAGATCATCATCACCGCTTCCGACCCACACACCTCTTCCGAGCGTCCCCGACGACCTCTCTTCTTATCCTGGCACCTTCTTCGGTGCGGATTTTGGCTCTCTACCAGGTCTTGCCCCAGGCTCGGGCATAGGTCTGGCAGCAGGCGCTCAGATGCAGCATATGCTGAAGATGGGGCGGTTCAAAGCACGCGTATGGCTGGGGAAGAAGGCGGATGGGGGGGTGCCCTGCAGAACACCAGGGAAGGTAAAGAGCTAGCTACCTCCACATGCATTTGAGTCGACTGAGATTGCATGGTCCTGCTGCCTGCAATGCCATTCTAAATTTCTCCCCACATTGTGCTGAGCATTAGCTGCTTATACTAATATTATGTATCAATTCTCTGTATCTTGTCCTCCTTGCAGGTTCCCAAGGAGGAGCAAGGGGAGACTGAGAGGTTGGAGCGTTTGGTGAACCGCTATGACCGCGGTCAGATGGCAAGAGCTGATTGGCTGGATGATCTCGCCTTTTCTACCATTGATACCATTCTCGAGGGGGAGGAGAAGGAACGTTCCAGGAGGCGGGGAAGTGTGGCGGCAAGATTGGTCGTGGAGTTTCCAACGTTTGACCATCCAGTGGCGTTTCAGGTAGGGAATTGGCTGGATGCAGGCAGATGGGGAGATGGGAAGCTTGATGGGTTTGGAAATTCTTGGCGACACAAGTGATGCCAGAACTCATCTTTGCTACGCCAGTTTTTTGGGTGGTTCACCACTTGCTAGGGTGCGTCGCCCCTTGCTATGGATTACATTTAAGACACTTTTGGCGTTTTCAAGACCATCGCGATACCCACAATTATCTGCAAATTGCACCCTTGACTACCACCACCTCCTTGCATCCTCTTCTCTGCCCTCCCTGCCCACTTTGCTGCTCACCCCAGGAGCTGGGCGCAGCAGGAGTGGCGGGGGTCGGCAGCGGCGGAGCAGCAGGGGGAGCTATCAGCAGCAGCGCAATCGGCACAGGGGTGGTACCAATAGGCGTGGCTCCCATCCCGGCGAGCAACGAGGTGGTGGTGCTGTGGGACCCGGAGATAGAGCAGCGAGTCAACCCGGCAGAGGCCAAGCAGCTCAAGCTCACTCGCATGCTCACCCGTGGCAACATGGAGAGGGACCTCAAGCCCAACCTCACTGAGAGAAAGTGAGTTCTGAGGATTCTCAGAACTATCACAGATAGAGCTCATTTGCATGCCGAATCGGGCCGTTGTCCTTTACCTTGCAATCTTTCGTCAGATGTCTTATTGAGGCCTTTATTTGCTGTGTGTGGCAGGGCCATCGCCACCATCCTGAGCTACCCGCCCACCCAGTCGCTCTCCCCAGAGGACGTGCAGTTGCTGTGGCGCTTCCGTTTCTCCCTCACCACCGACCGCCGCGCCCTCACCCGCTTCCTGCGCTGCGTTGACTGGAGTGATGCGGAGGTGAGGGGTATGCTTGCAGGGCTGAGAATCGGGGTTGAAGTTCTGTGGCAGGGAGTGCTGCGCTAAGGGCAGTTGGCTGGGCAGGAACGATGACTGGACGACTGTGATGCGGAGGTGCAGGAACGATGTGCCAGGACGCACGTGAGCATGCCTGCCTGTGCACACTGGTTTTGCCTCGAATGCCCGTCTTTGATCTGTCTCCTCTGAGCATTGACTGCTGCCGTGCCGATGCTGCTGGCACTACGTGGACTCTTAAGCACATCTGAATGTTTCTACGTGTCTCTCCTCCCGCCGCCAGGAGGCACGAGAGGGCACAGAGCTGATGTATGCATGGGCTCCCATCGACACTGCTGATGCGCTTGAGCTGCTCTGCCCCACGTTCTCATGTGAGGAGGTCAGTGCTCTGCCAAACGTACATAACACAGCTACCACCTCTCAGTGGAGCTGTTTTTGTTTGGTGTTTCTTGCACTTCTGTGTCCCATCAATGCTTCACTGTAAGCCACTCAGGCTTGTTGCCCATGCATTCTCATCCTATGCTGCTTTCACTCATGCCACGCCCACCTCTCTCCACTCTCCACTGGCGCAGTTGCGAGAATACACAGTGGTGGTGCTGGAGCGAGCAGGGGACGAAGAGGTGTTTACACTGCTTTCACTCACATTCACTAATGTGTTGCCATGCCTCCCTTTCTCGGTGCAGGTGCGCGCGTACGCGGTGACGGTGCTGGAGAGAGCAGGGGACGAGGAGCTGAAGAGCTATCTGTTGCAGCTTGTGCACGCCCTCCGATACGAACGCTCTGACTTTTCCAACCTGGCTCTCTTCCTCATCTCCCGAGGTACCACTCTGCTCAATTTCTATCACACTCCTCTCGTTTCCTCTACTTCTGACTCCTTACGGCTCCTCTTTTGGCTTATATATGAAGCTCATTGCTTATCTGTACTTTGCTCTGCGCTCCCGGCAGGATGCCATAACTTCGAGCTTGCAAATTTCCTCCACTGGTATCTCCAGGTGGAGCGGCAGGTGAGGTGCTCCATTCTGTACAAAGACGAGCAGTTGACCAGATGTGCCTTTTATGGCTTGTCAGACTCCTTTTTTTGCCATGTCCTTCCCATGATTCTCAATTGTAGTGCCATGTTCTGCCGTCAACCCGTTCTGCTTGCACCACAGGACCACGTGTTTGCCTCGCGCTACGCCTTCGTGCACGACCATCTGCTTGCCACCCTTCTTGAGGTCAGGCGTTTTGTTTTGCCCATGCCATCACCACGTTCCCTCGTTTCATCCACACTCTGTTTCCAGTGGCCGCACCCCCACCCCCCCCTGCATCCTGCCTCTTCCGCCTCCCTAGCACCGTCCTCCAATTCTCCTTCTCCTACCTGCTCCCGCCGTCCGGTCCCCCCCACCCTCCCGCCTCAGCTGGGAGCAGAGGGAGCGGAGGTGCACGCGCAGCTGATGAGGCAGTGTGAGCTGGATGCAGCGCTGGCAGGCACCATGCACGCCATCAACGCCGTGAGGGGCAGCACTGCGCGCAAGGTGGAGCAGCTGCGAGCTCTGCTCTCTGCCGATGCTGACGGCAGCCTTGCTAGCTTTGCCCAGGTGGGTGGGTGGTTTGATTCAGAGCTGGCGGGCACCATGCACGCCATCAACGCCGTGAGGGGCAGCACTGCGTGCAAGGTGGAGCAGCTGCGAGCACTGCTCTCAGCTCACACTGATGGCAGACTTGCTAACTTCGCTCAGGTGTGGGAAGAGGCTTACGTGATTTGATCTCAGCATGCAGTGCAGTTCGGTTTTTCTGCTGAGATCGGATCTGATTATCCAGCCAGAAAGTTGCAGCATCAAGGGATGCCGCTGCACGCGCGGCGCACAAATAAAAGGGGGAATGTTTTCCTCCCCGTTTCATGCCAACCCACCCACCCCCCCCCTCCCAACTCTCCCACAGCCCCTAGCCCTGCCAGTGGAGCCATCGATCCGGGTGGTGGGAATATCGGCGGAGGAGTCGAGTGTGTTCAAGAGCATGCTGCATCCTCTCAAGCTGGCATTCAGAAAGGAGGACGGTGGTCTGTGCCGTGTCATCTTCAAGAAGGGAGACGACCTGAGGCAAGACCAGTTGGTGAGGCAATCTGAGGCAGGATAGAGATGACCTGATGACTGGCCTGCTTGTTATCGTCTAGTATATGATTGCAACGTCCCTTTCTTCCCCTCCCTCCCTGACTCCCTTACTCAATTATTTACTCACTCACCCACTCATCACTCACTGCGTCATTCCCTCACTCCCCTTCTCGCCACATGAGCATGGTCCAGGTGATTCAGATGGTGACACTGATGGACCGGCTTCTGAAGAAGGAAAATCTGGACCTCTCATGTCCTACCGCGGTCTGAGGCGCCTTAACAGCCCGCTCCTACCCTCACCCACTCATTCACCCCCTAACTCCCCCTCTCGCTGCACATGCATGAGCATGAGAGCAGGTGATTCAGCTGGTGACGCTGATGGACAAGCTGCTCAAGAAGGAGAAACTGGACCTCTGCCTCACGCCCTACCCACCGTGTGTTCAGGCGCCTCAACAGCCCTTTTCCCCCTTCTTCCCACACGTGCATGAGCATGAGAGCAGGTGATTCAGATGGTGACGTTGATGGACAAGCTGCTCAAGAAGGAGAATCTGGACCTCTGCCTCACGCCCTACCGTGTCCTCGCCACTGCTGCTGACCAGGGCTTCGTGGAGTTCGTCCCCTCCATGCCCCTCGCCCAGGTCCGCTCTCCCCAGGTGCTCCCAGGTGCTCTCAGATGATCTCAGGTCCTCAGGTACTCATGCATTCTCAGGGGTTTGCATATGATTCCCACCCTGTGATTCCTAGCCTGCAAGCTGCATTCTGAACCCTTAGCTTCTTGATTTCCTTCAAATCACCTTGCTGCAGTACCTGGACCAGTTCCACCCAGACCCTCTCTCCAGGTTCAGGCATCAGTTCCACCCGAGCCATCCTTCTAGTACCTCCCCGTCTCTACAGGTGCTGGCAGAGTACCGGTCGATAGAGCGCTACCTGCACCAGTTCCACCCGGATGCCGAGTCGCCCTATGGCATCACACCCACCTGCCTCGACACCTTCATCCGCAGTTGCGCTGGTTACTGCGTTACCATGTACATCCTCGGCGTGGGCGACAGGCAAGTAACAGAGTCAGCTTTCAGCGTGGCTGGTTACTGCATTACCATGTACATCCTGTCATTACCCTATACGTTTTGTTGTCTGAGTTACTCTGCCATTGCTCCTCCCCTCCGTCAACCCCACCCCCCTCCTTTCCTTCCATAGGCACCTGGACTGGACAACCTGCTGCTGTGCACGGACGTCTCTTCCACATTGACTTTGGCTACATCTTTGGCCTTGTTGTCTGAGGAGTTACTCTGTCACTACCGCCTATGTCCCTCTCCCCAAACCAGGTGCCCCCCCTTCCCCCCTCCCTTCTCACCAGGCATCTGGACAATCTACTGCTCTGCACGGATGGTCGTCTCTTCCACATTGACTTTGGGTACATCTTTGGTCGGGATCCCAAACCCTTCCCGCCGCCCATGAAGCTCTGCAAGGAGATGCTCGACGCCATGGGGGGTGCAAGCAGGTGAGAGAGGCATGCCATGGGAGGCGCAGGAGGAATGCTGCGGGTTGAGGCGTACAGGTGGGCGTGTGGGTTGCAAGGACAAGCTCTGCAAGGAGATGCTCGACGCCATGGGGTGCACCAGCAGGTGAGAGAGGCATGCCATGGGGGGCGCAAGAGGGATGCTATGGGTTGAGGCGTGCAGGTGGGCGTGTGATTTGCAAGGACAAGCTCTGCAAGGAGATGCTCGACGCCATGGGGGGCGCGAGCAGGTGAGTGAGGACAGAATATGCCACCAGTATGGCTCTTTTATTTCACTCTGCAGTCCAGTACCCCGTTCGCTGTATTGTTGACTGTGCTTCTAGAAGCACTCTCTTCACTGACCCCCCCGACTCCTTTCTCCCAGCCCTGACCCAGCCCACCTCTCCCTGCTCTAATCACCCGCTTGAACCCTGCAGCCCTTTAGCCGTACTGTTGTGAGGCCTTCCACATCCTGACAGGTACCACCCTTCTCCATTCTGCTCTCATCCACCCCCACCGCCCAACCTCCCTTGCTCCCTTCTTTCAGTCCCGAGTACGTGCGCTTCCGCTCGTACTGCTGTGAGGCCTTCAACATTCTGCGAGCGAGCAGCCGCCTCTTCCTCAACCTCTTTCACCTCATGGCGCATGCCAGCATCCCTGACATCGCCTCGCACGACCCCGACCAGCTGCTCACTAAGGTGTGCTACGATTGCAAGGCATGGATTGTTATGGATGAATTGGAGGTAATCCATGGTCTGGTGGATCATGATCATCGTGGCGTGGCGCATGCCAGCATGCCAGCATCCCTGGCATCGCCTCACACGATCCCGACCAGCTGCTCACCAAGGTGAGTCGTAATGGTCACAGCATGAGGCGGCAGTGCAGTTCATCCAGGCACTGCTTTTTAGGCGCCCCAGAAATTGTTCCATCCCTCCCAACCATCCCCTCCGTCACTCCCCCTCTTACTTGCCTCCCTCTCCTTCTCCATCACCCCCCACAGCTGCAGCAGAAGTTCCGCCTTGATCTGGACGAATCGGCAGTGCAGTTCATCCAGGCACTATTCCTAGTGCGCCTACAAGAACCACTACCCCTCCGCGCCCTCGTTTCTCCACTCCACCTCCCCCCCCTTCCCCACCCCCCCAGCTGCAGCAGAAGTTCCGTCTTGATTTGGACGACGAGGCGGCAGTGCAGTTCATCCAGGAGCTCATTAACGAGTCGGTGTCGGCGCTGCTGCCACACATGGTGGAGACCATCCACAGATGGGCGCAGTACTGGCGGTGATCTCAGTACTAGCGCTGATACCAGCACACAGACGCTGAGGCTGCAGTGACATGTGAGGTTTTTTCAGTAACTCATCAATGAGTTGGTGTCGCGCCTGCGACACCTGGTGATGAGGCAAGTGTACCATAGGGGCTCTGTCTGTATCTGCTGCCCCGCATGGTGGACACCATCCATGCATGGGCACAGTACTGGCGGTGACACCACCAGTGACGGCGAGGCAAGTGTGGTTCAGTCATGTGAGAGGCTACAACTACCACTCTCCAACCAGGCTAGATCGTTACGTGGTAAGGTTGCCGTTCTCACTTGCTATCAACAGTGCTAACCACTGGGCTCGCAATTGGTTGCGTGTAAGTGGTACACCTGTCTTCTTGACAGGATTAAGGGTACATTCCTGCCTTGACACAAATGTCTCAATTGTATTGTGACGCGTAAAAACAGCATATAACGTACACCGTCACAATCTCGGGTCGCCTTAATGCGAATGCAACCGTATTTTACATTGGTTAGCGTCAAACGCGCTGGTGTCGCGGACGAGTTGGACGAGGCCCCGTCACCTCCGTGAAATCGCCTGAGCGATCAAAGTCACGTCAATTTGAGTGCCCTGCCGCATGCACCTGGACACTGGACCACTTGACAGTTTAGCGCGGGAAACACACCCGCCATCCCTGGGCAGCATCGAAAGGGGTTTCCTTGCATGTGTTACACGCGAGGCTGCCCGCCGAAACCACCACGGGGAGTCGCATGAGGAAGGGAACAGCCCTGGGTTCTGCCATGGCTGATTTGAGTGGGGGACCGGCTGTGCATGCATTGTGTTTTTGTGCTTGTAGTTGTAGTTGTAGGTGCATTGTGGCTCTGTGTTTGTTGGTGGTCTCGCTAACTCGCGGCTGGTTCATTTGTTACACCTGGTTTTACCTGCCTGCCCGGCGCCAAACTGCGGGCGCTCGAATTAACTGGTTTGGAACCAATGGAATCTCGACAAAAGTACAACACTCTGACTCGCTAAATGTCGCAATACATCCAACTCTTTGTGACGCGTAAATGTGCAAATTTACAGGCGCGACTCGAAAAACCAGGCATTGAGACATTTGTGTCAAGGCAGGAATGTACCCTAAAACTGTTGTATATAGCTTTGATGTACGAATTTGATGCGTTTGTGCATCTCTCCTTTTGCTATTAGTGCATAATCACTGCTGTTACAAGTGTCGCAGAGGCAAGTCATACTCAGGCAAGTCTACTTCCACGGTAATGGTAGTCTCAGAATACTAGCGTAAGAATGATGCATTGAAAGAAACAGTTGGGTACAAGTAGCTAACCCTAGTTGGGTTTGTACCCTGTATTGGCTACCCCACTACAGCCTACCCACATATATATAACACATTACAACTTAACACACCCCCATAGGCAAAGTGGGGGAGAGCAAAGGGTCACAAGACCAGTCCAGCAAAGCAAAACAAGCCCAGGGTGGATCACAACGTCACCACACTCCGAGCACAAGCAAAGGCCACAAGGCCAGTTCACATGCAGTGCTAGATATAGAACAGGACAAGCAGCAAGATATATATAAAGTACAGTACAAAGAAAGTCAAGCAGTAAGCAAATGAGGAAACGTGGACACAAGGCCTAAAGAAGTACAGTGCCGCTGATGATCACTAGGCGGGAGCGCCTTGGTGAAGATATCAGCAGTGTTGGCCTTCGAGTCCACGTACACAAGCCGAAGCTGACCGCGCTGCTGAAGCTCTCGAGCAAGAAAGTAGCGAAGAGCAATGTGCTTCGTCCTGTGCTCCAGTCTGTGCTCCTGACACAAGGCAAGGGCCGCCTTGTTGTCACCGTACAGAACTGGAGGAGAACTAGGCCGCTCTCCCAAGTCAGTCAGCAGGTAGGTGAGCCAGCGTAACTCCTATGCAGCCATGGCTGTGGCGTAGATCTCAGCCTCGCAACTAGAGCCGAGAACAGAAGAAGAGCGGGTGGACCGCCACGAGACAGAACCAGAGCCAAGGCTGAAGGTGTAACCCTGTGACGACCGCTGCGTAGCCAGGTCGTCCACCCAAGAAGCGTCCGAGTGACCAGTGAGGACAACTCTGTCGCGTCCTCCAAGCACCAGCCCCATGCCTGATGTACTGCACAAGTAACGCAGCACCCTCTTAGCAGCCTCCCAGTGCTCTCGCCTATGTCTCCCAGGCGCAACGTAACGAGCAAGGATGCTAAGAGGGTACGCGAGGTCAGGTCGCGTGCAAGTCATCAGGTACATGAGGCAGCCTACAAGCTCTGGGTACGGGCCACTCGGCTCTACGGACTCGTCCGAAGGTGGAGCTGAGAGCGAGTGGCTGGTAGCCAGAGGTGTGGCCTGTGGTGAGGAGAACTGGAAGCCGAAGCGCTGAAGGACCTGCTGCACCATGTGTGACTGAGTCAGGGTGATGGTGCGGCGTGCTCTGTCCAGGGTGATCTGCAAGCCAAGGTAGCTACGCAGCTCACCCAGGTCAGTGCAGGTGTGTCTCTTCTGCAGCTCCGACTTCACACGAGCGAGTGCCTCAGTGTCAGCAGTAGCAAAAACCAAGTCGTCGACGTACACGAGGATGTAGAACGGCGGCAGCGACGTGTCTGTGCGCAGGAACAGTGACGGGTCAGCAGTGGAAGGAGCAAACCCAAGGGCCGCAAGTGTAGTCCTCAGTGTGTCGTGCCACTCGCGCGGTGCCTGGCGGAGACCGTAGACTGGCCGCCGGAGGCTCCACTGGGTACCAGGAGGAAACGACCCAGTAAAGCCAGGTGGGCGGCGCAGCCAGATCTCCTCGTGCAGGCTGCCCTGCAAGAACGCTGTGCTGAAGTCAAGAGAGTGAAGCTCGTAGTCACGCTGAGCAGCAACGTGCAGCAGAACCCGAAGAGTGGTCATCTTCGGGGTGGGGGAGAAGGTCTGAAAGAAGTCAACCCCCTGACGCTGACTGAAGCCTCTAGCAACGTAACGAGCCTTGAAGACAGGTGGAGAACCTGGCGGCCGCTTCACCCTGAAAATCCACATGCCATCGACGATGTTCGCCCCAGGAAGGGGAACCTCGTCGACGTAGGTGCCTGTGGACTTCCAGGATGCCATCTCTGCGTCCATGGCTGTCTGCCACTGAGAGGAGTAGGGACCCGAGATCGCCTCTGCGTAAGAGCGCGGAGTGGGGATGTCTAGTGCATCCGGGTCTCCCTCAGGGGCAAGCAACCAGGCCACGAGATGAGGTACAGCAGCCGCAAGAGAGTCAAAGTCCTCCTGCCTGTCCTCAAGGACGTCCGTGCCAAGAGCACACTCACCCCCGACGGACGGAGGACAGACAGACTCAGACCCAGCAACAAGACTGGCGGCGTAGTCTAGACAACAGGCAGCAGCAAAGTCGACAAGCTCAGCGACCAGGGCAGACGCAGCAGAAGACTCAAACGACGGGTCAGTGACAACAGTGGCGAGAAGACGCGTAACAGTAGGGTGGGCAGCACGAACACTGTCAGACTCAGGGTCGGGAACCTCAGGAAGAGAAGACGCAGGAGGAGACGGTAGGGGGACACGCTGTGGACCAGTGGAAGGACGAAGGGCCATAATATGCGTGCCAGGAACAGGAGGAGGACGCGGACGCGCGACACGACGACCAGTGGGACCAGTGCGCGCAGTGCGAGCAGTGCGAGCAGCACGAACAGGCGAGGCAGGACGAGACACAGGCTCACGACGCTCCGTAAGCGAGTCCGGCTGTGCAGTGTAAGGCACAGGAGCAGGGAGGGGGGAGCCAGGCTGGAGAGGAAGGCCAGTGGAAGACGGGAGGGAAAGAACCTGGCGAAGCACCGTGTCAGGCGGTGGCAAAGCCGACGGCGACGGTGGAGCGAAGAACAGGCGCGACGGCGGAGCTCCGCCAGCACCTCCAGCACCCGCAGCACCAGAAGCACCAGGACCAGCACCCCCCGCCGCAGCACCCCCAGAGCCGGCGACGTCAGCACCAGAGGCCTCAGCAGCGGCAGACCTCCCCTCGCCAGCACCTCCAGAGCCAGCAGGACCAACGTCTCCAAGACCGTCAGCTCCAGTGTCGTCAGCTCCAGCACCTCCAGGAAGAGCACCCCCAGCGCCGGCAGCGCCAACTCCGCCAGTACCGCCAGCCCCAGAGGCCCCAGCTCCAGCAGCTCCAGCCTCAGTGCTCCCAGAACAACCAGCCCCGGCAGCTCCAGTACCTCCAGTACGAGCACCTCCAGGACGAGCAGCTCCAGAACCGCCAACTCCAGCAGGGCCACGAGGACGGCGAAAGCGCCGGACGTACCAGTCACGAAGCTGCTGCGGTGTGAGAGACGGCTCAGCACCCCGAACCGGAGCACCCCCAGACGCAGCAACCCCAGGCTCCGTAGGCTCAGTCGCAGCACCCCCAGGCTCAGTACCCTCAGGCGCAGCACCCCCAGGCTCAGCACCCCCAGACTCAGTACACCCAGGCTCCGTACACGCAGGCTCAGCACCCCCAGTCGCAGCACCCCCAGGCTCAGCACCCCCAGGCTCCGTACGCTCAGGCACCGTACCCTCAGCTCCAGCACCCTCAGTCCCAGCACCCGCAGCCCCAGCACCCCCAGGCCCAGCACCCCCAGGCTCAGCACTCCCAGCAGCACCACCCGCAGCAGCACCTGAGTCACCTGTGACCTCGACAGGCTCAGCGACGGGAGGAGGGTCTACCTGAGAGACACCTGAAGGAGCACGACCATGAGGGGGGAGGGGGTCTACCGGAGGGGGACCAGGAGCAAGGAAAAGCGGCGGGGGAGGGAGGGGGGCAGTGCGGTAGGGGAAGAGACGGTAAAAAGGGACCGACTCGTCAAAGGTGACGTCCTGAGAGGCGAAGACCCGGCGCGAGGTGGGGTGGTAAAACTGCCAGCCAGGCGCGTCAGGGACAAAGCCAAGGAAGACACAGGGAAGCGTGCGGGAGGAGAGCTTGTCCGCGGACGTATCGCGGACAAGGGCACGAGCACCCCACACCCGGAAGCGCGACGCATCGCCAACCTCC